GAAGTCTTGTGTAAATCAGAGATGGACAATGAAGGCTGGATACTAAATATTGAAACTAAGTTAATATTTATGTGTACATTGGAGATGAGTTTAGTATTAAAGAAGGAATGAAATTAGTTTGCTTCAGAAGATCATTGATCAAATGAAAGTTGTACAATATGAGATATGAAACTTAAATACCTTCCTCCGTTTTATCTTCTCTTGTTCCTTCACTTTTCTCATGTTAAATTTCCATCGTTCAACAACTTCCATTCCATTGCTGTATCTTGTTTTGTTCCCCAATTTTCTATTAACACATTGGCCACAGGTAATATGAAAACCCGAAACGAGAAATCTCGTTTTCAGACGCGTGCAATATCTGTTTATTATTTCCTTGGGCAATGATGTTTCTGTTACGTTCGATTATTATTGGCTTTGTTACAGAGTATAATTTCAGTTTGGTGCTAGAGTTCAGTGGACGAACAAGTACGAGCAAAATGTTAACAAAACATCCTGCCGTACGTTGGTGTCTACTGGGTGGTCGTATTATGTTCATAACAATACCACCAAGTACGAAAATTTGTAGGTGAACAACTAACATACCAAATAAATTACTCGAAGACCCGCTCAAATGCAAATGACAAGACAACGAACCTTCTCCAATTAACAAATTAAATCAAATTCTATTTCCCGCCATAAATTCGAATAACGTATCCACTAATCTCCTGATGTCTGATTCATACACACCTGCAATCTATAAACCATCGATCTTCCAAAATCCAACAAACAGTTACAAGAATAACTGAATTCTTCCCTTTCACATCATAACTCACGCTTAAATAAAATATTTACAATTAGAAAATGGAACGAGATATCAATAATTCTTCCAGTTACCCACGCGGATATCAAGTTTTCCTCGATATACGCAAATAAACCGCGAAACGACCGAGCAACGAAAGGACGAGGGTAGATCGATTTTATTGGGAACAGCAGAACGTTTCCCCCGAGGGAGACTGAAAACTCTCTGACAAACATTAATTCGAGCTTTATCGGCCGTGAAGAAACCGCCCAGCAGTAATATCACGGGGACTGTATGTACGGCTGACAAATCCGCGAATGATTGCCATTATAAATAAATAAAAAAAAGGCAAGGGGTGGTCGTGGACGTCGGAAGAATAATGAGACTGGTCCTGTTGGATGGAATTATTGTTCGGTAGTTAACAAGGAGAAGCAGGATCGAGGAACGATTCCGTCAGCAGCTGTTTCGCGTTACAATGGAATACTATTTCCGTGTCCCTTTTACTGTCTGTGCTTGACAACCGTCATGGTTTTCTCTCTCCCGTGACGAGTGTAGAATGTGTTTAATCGAGAATGAATTTTGGAGAATATTCGAATTCAGGAGGAACACAAATGGTTTTGTATGTTTCATATCATTGCTGGGAGAATTTTTAAACCACGAATGTTCGCTTTGGTTAAAGGAATAATCATTTTATTGGGGGAGATTAACGGTAAGTAGTTCTTTTAACACTACAACTACCGAGAATAAACACATCTATTACTATCGATCGATAGACATCGCAAACTTTGGAAAATTTACAAATTTATAAATTAACTAATTTCTTCACTTTTATATCGTAATAAGAGTGTAGAGAATTCTGAACGTAGTAAAGAATTCTCCGCCGGCAGACTGGCGTTCTGATTAGTCGGGATTTTTCGTTAATATCTCGTTAACATTTTTGCTAAGGAAAAACTTGTTCCAAATCACCTTACGAGTGATCCATTTCAGGGATCTACAACACTTCTGTTACACCCTCTAAATTTTCACTCCCGTACTATAAATGAAAGCCTAGTTACTGTTGGGTAGCTACAGAATGGTAGGAAGTGTAAGTGTTTCCTAACTCTCCTTCAATTTTCCTGCACCGTAATTTATTATCCCTCCTTTCCCATGCCCTCCTCTAATTTTCTTGCACCGTAATTTATAAGCGTAATAACTTCCCATTATTTCCTCTTTTAATCGAAGATATATACTTGGTGTCGGAATCTGGGCGATTAAATCGACGCGGAAATAGGTTCCACGGCCGTAGACCATCTCGTGGACGTTCGCAGAGGAACACGCCGAAACATTTCCTTTTCCTTTTTACGACGACACGATTATTTCGCTGACCACGACGGAAATTTCCGCCGAATCGAAGAAACACGGAGAGGTGAACACGATTCGTGCCGCGTATTTCTCGCCTAGCTCCGCGCAGATTCCCGCGCGGAAACTTTCCGACGGGGACACCGTTGACGGGCGCGAGAGACGAGTGTCCGTCGACGATCCTCCAATTCGATGGACATAAAAAGGATGGACGAGCACGTGTCACGTCCACGCGAAAACCGTCGTCGTTTGACCAACGATAGTCGTCGAGAAAATTAACGCGAGGTGACCACGTTTTTTCTGGACGAATTCGTTTTCCTTTCGACTCTTCACAACTAACGTTGGAAGAAAGTAGGGTAACCAGGATCCGATGTTTGCTTGGATAAACAAAATGACTTGTTTAGTCCAACGATTAAGGGCGTTAATGAAAATGGGGAAGATTTTATTAACGATGAAGAATCCATTAACGTACACCGATTAAAACCGTTTAGAAAATGTCTTTAATAAGGAACTCTAAATTACGTACATCTTGCAACGTTTCGAGTCATGATCGAAACTTACGATAACCATTGTTCAATAAAACCTTAACTAATCGGCTACGATAAGACCGTGTGAAGCGTTCACGGACGCTATGTTACCTACAATTTAATCGATGCATCGCGCGACCCAATACGCCGAGGAAACCGGCACGCAGCCTCCGATAAGTGTTACGTGTCATCGTTGGGGGACTACGTGGAAATTTTCGAACAGCTGACCCGGTTTCTTCGTTTTTTTGCTACGCGAATCCCCGACCATATCGTTCCGCGGAACGAGCTGTTATCGGTGGAACGCGTGTCAATCGGCGGTGGAGGGGGAAACGAGCAGTCGCATCCTGAAATTAAAGCCACGCGTGGCTCTTGTACACGGTCAGCGACGCTTAATTAAAATTCTAAATAATAATACTAGTGCACCGTGTGCCGCGTATCGATTGAGGATCGAACGATCTGTATTCGATTCGTGGAGAAAATAATGTCGTTTTTCAGTGACCATGCAGAGTTTCGAAAATGTTCTTAAGCTTGTAGAAACAAAAACAATTGTGATTATTAGACTGCGGATTTTTATGTAAACTGAAAGTTTATAAAATAATAGACGTAGACAGGAACAAAAGTAGGATTTTCTTTTCGTCCCTTAAGTACAGTGACAATTTATTCACACCTTTTTGAAGTAATAGTTAAGTGTAACAATTTTCATGCAATTCTTAGTTATGTATTCCCATTATCTTCACTTTTAACGGTTTTCCATTCCAACACTTTCTTAAATTTTGAAATAAAATTCGCAATTTGGTACGTGATTTAGTAAAATAAATGTAAAGTCACTGTATCTTATTGAATTTAAGAATAAAATGGAGAATTCGTTGCATTCGATCGAAGTTTTGTCTTTTATTGCATTTCAGAGGTCCATACAGGCTGTAAACGCATAAAATCCGCAATCTAGTAATCATAGTCTGACCTAACACTAGAACTACCAAGTCTGTGAAAATGACGGATTTCAAATTTCTTCTTTTATAATTACTGAAAGAAGATCCTTTTGTCAGAATTTATGTTCACGTGTAATTTATTACAAATTTCACATTACACAATATTCTATCGCCTTGTATTGTGTATTATACAATTTATTTTATTATACATTCAACGCTGGTAGTTCTAGTATTAAAGTCTTTTGCAATTTCTCAGTAGGTAGGCCATAGATTTCTAGCAATTATTTCGTTTACTACATCGACATAGGTCAACGACGACATTGATCTGATTATCAAACTGTAAATCTTAACAGTTATACGGGATGTCCAGTATATATTATTGCAACTGAGAATGCACTTCAATGTGCAGAAATAGAACAATAATAATATTTGTTTATACAAGCTTTTATCCTTGGGAAAATCAAGTTTGTATTCATGTTTATAATGTAACAAATTATTTTCCAGGATAATTTGATGTACACTAAAAATTAAGATATAATAATAACTATGGAAAGTAAATAGTACTACGGTACTATAAATGCTTCGAACAAGTAGAAGTAGTAAGTAGTAGACAGACTCATTAGCCAGTCATATCGTCGTAAACACAGATTTCTATGGACAAATTTTATCCTACACTTTCGATTTGTTTCTGCGAACACCATCTGTTTCTCGATTGTCCCATGATCTACTGAACATTCTGGAAAAATTCAATCCTTGTATTTGCTACAAATACATCACAAATATTTTTCATTCAGCTATCTGCATTCATACAGTTTTTATAATTGTTATAGATAACATAAGACGTTCAAAATGAACTTTACAGTATAACACATCTAATCTCCACAAAAGCTTAATCCGGACTATGGTACGAATTAAGTGTTTTACGATCACACACCTCTTCACTACCAACACTGACCTGTCGCTAAACTTAGAAATTTGTCCCTGACCTGAAATTGTTCCCATTAGAAAAATTGAAAAACGATATTACTTTCCCACCGATTACACCTCTTCACTACCAACACTGACCTGTCGCTAAACTTAGAAATTTGTCCCTGACCTGAAATTCTCCAATTAGAAAAATTGAAAAACGATATTACTTTCCCACCGACCCAATAGATTGCACAGTTCACATATCAATTCTTTTCGCGTTGAACGTCAAACGTTGGTAAAAACTCGCAATAAACATCTCTGTATTCCGACAAAATATGAAAAATTATTAATTGTTAAAAGTAGTGAGCACTGGTTTGTTGAACCGATAGGCAGTATCAAGGCCCCCATCGTGCGTCAACGTGGCGTTAGAAAGAAAGAAACGCAGCTATCATAGAAGCTACTGCGCGATCTATACGCCAAAAAACGATAATTTTTTTTTGATATCGTGTGAGGCTTGAATTAAGTACGACTGGAAAGTGCGGTAAGAATCGATCGAATGGTAAACTCGAATCTACGCTCGCGGGACACAATCAGAACGTTTCCATGTGTATGGTGTCCCTGCTGGAGTAGAGGTTCGAGACGTTGTTGCTAGTGCCCTGGGTGTAAATCGAACCGTCCTCCTCGGTGTCCATTTCCTCCGAGAAATTAACAAGGACCTGAAACATTCGAATCCTTTTAGTTCACTGTTCACCATTCTGTACGATGCAATTACAATCGTTACACTGTCCACGAGTAACAAGATATTCGAGAGGAAAATTAAAGATCGTTTGAAAAAGATTTCGTTTTTTGCTTTAGACCCAGCTGAGATTCAGAATGTTGCGAGCACAGAAAAAACATGACTCCAAAGGAATATATTCGTTATATCAGGTTTTACATAAATTTTATACGATGTGATCACAACGATCAAAGTTGTGCATTAATACAATTAACTGAAAAATGAAAAGGATCGTGAAACAGGTTGTAAATAAAAATATGATTTGAATTGAAAAATGTAGATTCTAACTCTGCCCTTAAAGACGTTACGAATTTTCCGAACAACCCACTACAATAATAACATCATTTATTGCATCACTGGAATCTTGAATTCATTATCACGTATACCTCTTGTATTATGAATACCAGGAAAATTAATTAAAACAATTATTCATAGCAAGAATATTCAACTCACTAGCTTGGCCAAAATAACTTACATAAAAATAATAATTTTTATCAATCATATTTTTGCCCATGAAAATTCTGCCCACTATCTAAACTTGATGAATATTACCAGTATACTGTATACAATAACTGCTTATCAATCATATTTTTGCCCATGAAAATTCTGCCCACTATCTAAACTTGATGAATATTACCAGTGTACTGTATACAATAACTGCACGAAATCCACTGTCAATTAGCTCTTTCCACCCGAATTATCTCTTTCAACCAAAAAAAAAAGGAAAACTTTTTTCTTCCCACAGCTATTTTCTGGATGTCAGAAAAACAGGTAAAATTAAAAAAAAAATAAAACCATTGTTCGTAAACAAAAACAATTCATTAAACAATTCCTAAATATTATTTTCGAGAACGCTATTCGTCTAATGACAAATAACTATACGACACGATACCACATTGAATCTTTAGGACCATAATATGAGAAAATGGAATTCTACAATGCGAAAGAGTTAACGAAAAATCTCGTAACCAGCGTTGTTCACCCTTCGTCAAGCGAAATCATCGCAGCGTGACACGTTTATGGGACGGGAATATTTCGCGAAATTTATCCGCGATCCGTTGGCAGGGTTGCCCGGTTGCGTGAAATGTATCGTAACGGGTAAATTGACAATTATTGCAAATGCGATCCGTGAAAGTTGCACGAGGGGAACAGAGAGGGGAGGGGAGTGGTTACGCGCTCGTTTCAACGGAGACGCGTAAACTTTCGGTCATTGCATCGTCGCGCGGGTCCTCGTTTATCGTGTCCTCCACGGCGAGATACGGTCCTCGAGCAGTTGGGGGGAGGGAATAAAACAGGAAGAAGAGGGACTGGATGGAATAGAAGCATCTAGGACGAAACGCTCTCACTCCACCCCCCATCTCGTCCAACGAGGAACCATAAAAATCTCGAAACTCCCGCAACGAGGCGAGTTTACGCGGTTTACATACAAGCCCCGTTCTGGAGTGGCAAAAACTGCGTCCCAGCGTACTTGTTTGCGTGTAATTCCGCGGAGACCGGCCGGAATTTTGTCTCGGCGTGCTGGATTCTTCGGGGGAAATTTGTTTTCACCTTCTTTTTTTTTTTTTTTTCGTTTCTTCTTATGATACTTTCAATTCGCGAATGTAGGAGGACCACGATTTTGTTTGTAATGTGTACCAAAAGCTCCCTAATGCCGAGTGCAGAAGGTGCAGTCTCATACTAATCGTTTCCTGTACTTTTCACTAGCCTACAGTCACAAGACAACAACCCGAAAATCTCCTTTCTTTCGTCTCGGTTTAAATTGAGACACGGTCGAACACATTCGCCGCGCCGAATTTAATTAATCCACGCGTAACGCTCCCCGTGCACCCTTCACAGGGAATTGTCCCAAGTTTGTCAATAACACCGCGACACGATGATCTACTTTCCAAGCGAACTTCTCCATAAGTCCAAAAGCGCTACGGCCACGCACGATACTTGGCCTTAATTGGCGAACACGTCCCGGGATACATTCGAATCATCAGCGAGTACGAAGTTACGCGCGCGCTCGGTACCGACCTTAATTCACGGAACTTAGTTCCCCGTGGATATTACATTAAAGGCGGTACACTCGGAAATCCCCGGGTCCCGTAAACGCTTTCGGCAACAATGGCGCGAACAATCTCGCAGTTCGAAACGTAAACCGAATCATGCGGGCGGTATCCTGGTAGCGATCGAGCTCCAGGAATTAGGAAGTCTGTCAGAAAAGTAATGGGATTTACAGCGTGGAAATTTATATTGTCAAGTTATCTACGAATCATCATTATTGCCTTCACGGTAGTTCCCTTGGGGAACAATAAACTGGTAAAGACGATGAAACACTTCTGGAAACAGTGCTGGACTTACTTCGTCTTGAACTGCTTTCAGGTGGTCTGTCACAACTTCTTGGATGTTGTCCATACTTCCAAGATGATACCTAACCCATGGATTTGAATCTTTGGGTATAGACAGAAATCACATGGACTCGAATCAGGGGAGTAAGGGGGGTGTGGAAACACAGGAGTACCCTGTTTGGTCTAAAAATTCGTTTATAGAGAGTGACAGGGAACGTTATCATGATGATGAGTTCGAGAAAAGTTTCTGTAAAGTCTAAGTGACTAGTTTCTTTTCCCAAAAATAAAAAGAATAGTAAATAATGGACAGCACCCAATAGGTTAGGACAGACCAACTGGAAACAGCTCCAGTTGAAGAATTCCTGCAGTGTTTCCAGAAGTGTGAACAATACCTCTAACGGTTTGTGGCTTCCCAAGTAAACTATATCAAAGGGGATAATGTTGATTTGCAGTTAATATAAATTTCTACGATATCAGTCTCCTTACTTCTCTGTTTATATTATAATTAAATTGCTTCCGTTTGATCGCTTTTGACCGCGTGACCATCTGTCACTACGAACGAATTTAGTCTCCTAGACCAGGTCGTTTGGTGGATCGCCCTTAAAAAGGATTTCCTTTCAATTTCATCCCTTTGACGGGAAATTCATTTCGTTCGCCGTGGTCCAGCGGCTTCAGAGGCTGAGAAATGACCGGCCAGAAGGCGGTTCGCACTTTCGGAACCATAAAATCTACATATCCACCGAGACGATCCGGCCACCGGTGGAAATCGGCCCTATGATTTACGCTGCCCGCCCTCTGCTAGCTTATAAACCATCCCCGCGATTATTCCACGGTGATTTCGGTGCTAGCCACGAGCATTCGTCTCCAGGAGGACTTTATTCCCCATATCTGTAACCACTGACTAATTCATGACGTTCTTGAATTCGTTTTTAATACCCTAATCATTGTTGTGGATTCATTCTGATCCTTATATTTCGCAGAGACACGCGTTTATTTTATCGCGTAATAGTAGTTCGCCAATACCTAAATACGCGAGTTAGTTGATAAAAACTCACGTGTTTATACTTAAGATACGAATAAACATGTACCTAAGTGCTATTTGAGGTACTTACAGCCTATTACGTCTATTGTTATCTTAATGTTTACAACTTATCTAGACGATATTACTTCAGAAATTGTACATACATAACGCGTTGTTAACCTGTTAACCAGGGAAAACAAGCTAATACATCTTTTGAGAATTTGTTTACCTGAGATGACGTTTAAATTATCACGATAAGGTATTTTAGATCCATCAGAAAGTTTTGACGTGTTCTGTACGTTTTACTCGAGCGATACGGTAAGATCAGTCATTAAGTTAGGCGTATAATTACGGCTAGGCTGATCTTACACATTCACACCACTTATGATTTCTTAAAATCCTACATCTTTTTTATTTTCTTTCTCTTTTTGATTTTGTATTGTTGACATTTGATATTTATTTCATTTTTTTTCCTCATATTTTTAGTTATAAAGATCTTTACAATTTTTATTAATTTTTTAATACAATGATTTCAGATAATTCTATGCATGGACAGTTTTTAACAATACCTCCTTCTCAGTTACATTATTTTTGTTTTGTTCTACAAAATCGACTTATTAAAGTTCACAGGAATCGGAGAAAATGAGATCGGACAAACAGGGGACTCGAACGCACGATCTTCGGGTTCTTGGACTAACCAGTCCGTGCTTTAATGACCACATCCACTGCGGCCTCCCGCATTTCCTAGTTTCCTAACTCTTCTTAACGTGTCCAGCAATCCTGATACGACACTGATATACAGAGTATCCCATATAATATGATTACTCAAAATATTTCTAATGTTATCCCACAAGTCCACTATATCTTATCCACCAAGTATATCACTGAAAATATAGGAAATATTTTAATTGCTCACGTTAGCTGGAACAATCTTACACAGGATGTCTGGTAAACGGTAGTACAATCAACAAACAGATATTCCTTCTAAAAGAATAAGTGAACGATGTAAAAAGAAGCTCTGTTACATAAAAATCAGTTAACTTTGTGAATGATAATAGTGAATGAGGTTCGTAGAGCGCTAGGTGAGAAATTAAACGTAGTCGAAACGAAAGGATCAAGTGAATGTTTACATTTACAGATATCGGGTTGTATTTATTACCGAAATAATAAATATTTACTACTGAAAGTAACTGTTTCCTATCAATTTCACACATTTTTCTTCTATGAAATAATGTTACTTTGTCATGTCTAGGTAAATTTATCTGAGGTTCCGTAATTTTAAAGATTCACAAATTGAACTATTTCTCTCTTCATTATATTAATTATTTACTTTCATATCAATTTGACACCAAAGGACAGATTAAGTTGGGAAACAAAGGGACGGATGAGGGTTAAACCAGTAGCACTATAATTTCACGATCAAAGTTATTTCACTCAGAAACTATGCAAGGAATCCAAAACCATCTTACTTATTTCGTTACAAGAAATCACCTCTTTGTCAGTTATACTATCTCGTGTTAGGTCTTTTCTGTGCTGGTTGAGGTTCAGAAAGAAACCGCGTCAGATCACTTTCCATGCATTTCCAGCTGCCTACGTGGGCGTCCTCGCGCGAAAAGCTATCAGGTGAACAGGTGAGACCAAGAGTAAAACACGACGTTCCACGGAAACGATTGCCGCGGATAGATCGAATGTATTCTTTCGCTTCGTGAAAGGCGGCCGTCCTGTCCTTCGACTCGAATTACACCACGTTCGCTGCGTCAATTGTCTCCTGCATTCTTTTTTTTTTCCACGAGATTGCATAACGCCCTTCCCTCGACGACGGCGTGTTTCACACAAAATGCAATTAGAAGCTGGAACTTGCAGCGGCCAACGGAGGAGAAAAAAAAAAGAAGAAGAGACTTCTGCATTCTGGCGTCAAATTCAGTTGGACCGCGATTCCAACGTGAAATTCCCACACAGATTCAGCCCGCCTCCGAGTTTCCGTGAGCCGGTTAATAAGGGAAGCGTAATTTAAGCGACGGTTTAAAAAGTTACACCTCGGAATTACGCGACTCCGTGGACCAGCTGATTATAATTAACACTCTTCAGACATTTATTAAGTGTGAAATTATTGTGGTCGGTCCGAGAGACTGGAAGAAAAAAATGGAACCGTTGTTCCAGCGAAATTTATTCCTGATTCCATTAAAGTTTCACGATGGAAAGGTTCGTTTCTATTTTGGTAGAAATGACGGGACAGATGGTGATGCTGAAGCAAATATCCTTTTGTTCTGTTATTCCATGCCAGTTCGAAGACTATTTATTAGTTGTTCATTGTAAATAAGATTTCTCGAATAAACGGTTGATAAATGTTGGTAAATTTTGCGTCGAACCGGACGTTTTTTTTTTTATGGTCGAGAAAAGTTTGAGAACTCTGGGTTGACAAGAGACAAGTGATTTTTCTGCGCCAGGAAAAACCCACGAGTCGCACTCGGCGGATATGTAGATAACACTAACCCAGACCACTACTTTGACCACCTAAACTATCCATGCAGCCATGAATCTATTTCACGTAATTCGCATAGCCTACACAAAGAAGGTTGCTACCTTCTACCATTAGCGCACACGATTCCATCTTCTAAAAAACTATCAATAATATTCTCTCTTACTCTCACACAGCCATGAGTGAATCCCAACGCGAATGGTTAAAATACTCTAGAAGGAGCAATCCATCACGTATTTTTTTTTGCCGAAGTCAGTAGGCCCGCCTAAATAATTCATAGTCCCGCGATTACGAGGGCCTGGCGTCGGAATAAACGCCAGATTCCGCGAGTCCTGGCTGCGTTCAATGGAATCACGTTCACATCGTTTGTTCGCGACGAGGAAGCCAGTCCTGTCTCCTTAATGGAGATAAGATTCCCAAGACAGTGCACACACCGGGCGACGCGGCTGTCGCGGAATTCGTTGATCCGGTTACGTTTACCCCGTACACAAAGCCGATCCCCGGGGGATTAACTCGGCTCGAGGAAACTGGGAGTTCTTAACCACGGCTGTATCCACCGTTCCCGTGTCAACCCCTTCGAATTCACCCTTGATAACAGTTTCGAACACCTTCGATCTTAATTAATCGTCATCGATCGAGATCTATTGGGATCTATTGAGAGGCTGTCCTTAAATTACGAAAAGGTAATTTTGGCAATTTCCTAACCCCTTCCACCCCCAATATAAGAAATCGTAAGATTTTATGTTAGAAAAATATTTCGAATTGTTCTTACAATATACATTTTCTTAGTATAATTAATATGTAAGTTTACTCGAGTATTCAGACAGGTTTCTAAGAAGAATAAATACAAATTCTATCATTAATGTTCCAGAACAGTAATATCAGTTTAAATGCCCCAAAACCAAGTTACAGGAATTATATAAACCTTTAGAAGAATTTTAATAACTGAAAACATGCAATGTAAATAGTATAACGTGAGGAAGGAGCAAGGGTCAGTGTATAAAATCTTACGAATTCTTACACTGTGGGAGGGAGGGAGTAAGAAATCGCCAAAATGACCCTTATACGAAATTTAAATACGGTCCCTAGGACGCTATGGGTAACAGCTAAGACTCCCCCACCCCCACAAGTAAACATAAGAAGTTGCCCCCTCCCCATCCAAGCCTTACATAATTTCAAGACCACCCCATACCGTGCCCTTCAACATTTTCTTCCGCCCTACGCGACCGTTATGACCTTAATTAACTCGTACGAATGAATGAATAGCAACAATGCAACCGATTCGTCGCATTTTCCCGGAAGTGCAACGTTATCGACGATCGTCCATAATAACGTGTCCGCGATGCAGAAGATAATTAAAGGAAAATAAAATGATAACTGGTTCGCTAGAGTGTCGATCGAGCAGGAACGAAGAAATTGTATAAACCCAAAACACTGGGGAACATTAATTAACCGGTCGGCGAAACCGGTCGGTCGAATAATACATTCGATATCGACGGAAAATTATGAAAACAGCTGAATAATCTGGTTCGTGCATTATTCACCGTTAACCGATCCGCCACGATCGGTTTTGTAATTGTTCGAGTATTGGGGTGGTTGTTATATAGTTGCCGATGCCACTGTCGGCAATCTGGGTGAGAAACAGTTAAGCCGATTGTATGTTCTCATCAAATTTCCATGCACATTTTTACGACGTCGTTTTTGGAATGTGAAACTGCAAGAAAATTGATTTCTTCTTTATCCTTGGCGTGCGCAACCTGAAATGAAAAATTCTTTCGGTATATATCGGGGGCGGAGGGGGGGGAGAAAAGCCAGAGGGTTAATAAAGGCCTCTGGAAAGGTATCGGTGTTGCGGCATTAAAATTCTTCCGGCTCCCGAGGAAGATTAAATGGGACGAAAGTTACTTCGTTACGTGGAAATTAAATTGTTCCCGGGAAGTAATTAATTACTGGAACAGTTTTGCAGGATACCCGGAGTCAGACAGCACGATACAGCGAATCAGAAAGCATTTAGGCGAGCTTAGAAGCAACGGTGATTGGGACACACCTAAACCAGTGGAGGATTGTAAATATACAGGGTATAAAAAAATGTATTATCTTGGCTTCAAGAGAGTGAATTTACACCCCTGGATCGGTCAACATTCGTAGGGAAACATTTGCCGTAAAATTATTCGTGACATTGACAATTAACCCTGATTCCTCTCTTGTGCCAATTTGGCACACTTCTCTCCTAAGAAATGATGTTATTTTATCATGTATAAGTAAATTTATCTGAAGATCCGTAAATTTTATTTTTAAAAAAAAGGTAATTTAAAAGAATAAATAAACATTCTTTTATTTTAAAGCATTTCCAAATTTAACTATTTATGTCCTCTAAAGATTAATTTTCAATGTTAGATACAATTTTGCTGCAGTCTTTCTTACAAATGTCCAAAGGTGTAGATTCACCACCTGAAGCCGTGACCATTAATTTTTTCACACCCTGTACACAAGTGGAAATAGTAAGACGGCGTCGGGGGACCCATTAATATTCCTCAGGCTAGGTGGGACGTAAACGAGGATCGTCCTTGGTCGAACGGATGGAGGGCAGCCTGCGTTGGCAGTGCATCATCTGTTCGAGACAAGATCCGTGGTATATTGCGCGGACAGAACTTCATCGATTCCCGTTTGATTCGAAACGTTTGTTTGGAATTGCCCTTCGACCGTATTTGGTGTCAGTGGCGCTGGTAACTAAATGTTATGGGTTATTGAGTGCGATTTGAGAATTAATTTATATCGTCCTGGGAGATGAATTGTTAATTGATCTAATCAATTGCGGTGATGGGAATAATTGCCCCAAGAGGCTACTACTATTACCATATGAAATTATTATTCTGAAATGGCAAGATCATCTATGTGTTATAGTGTTATACTACTCTGTCACTACAATGTGGAATTGTCCTTGATTTGCAAATTGGCACTGTTGGATGAATATGTTCTCTGTGGTTGTTTTCTGGAAACAATTCACCACAGACCAGGCAACATTTTTTATGCTTTTGTTTAATACGGTACGTATAGGTTTTCCATCATTCCAGCTTACAGGAATTAAATAAAGTATATGTATAGTTGCTTATATGTATTATCATTTCATAAGAATGCCAACACATTCTAAAGAAATTCATTCCAAAACACATCTAAAGTCAGCTGAGCAGGGACCTATCCAGACCCACGTACTGCCGTCTATTTGATAATTAGGGTTAAACTCTAATATTATCGTTGTCTAATAATAATAATTGGTGCACTTAAGAGAAATAAAAATACCCAAAAAATGGTTTAAAAATTTCACTATCAATTATCGATGAACATTCAGTTCAGAGAAACTAGCTCAAACCGAAGTATCTCATAGTGAAATAAGGTTTCTGGGGTTGTAAATTCCACGGACATCCCCAAAACTATTACACTACATACCTGATCCAGCGAACTTTGGGTGAGCGTGTAGTCGGTGGCTTTAAGTTCCTCGGCCAACAGCTTCACCTTATTAAAGCTGACGCTCAGCGGCATGTCCTGGCTTCGCGGTAGCAATAGACGGGCCGCCGTGGCCTGCTTCGAGGAGACTACAGCCTGAGGAAGGTACTTTGTTAGGACTTTCTTCAGATCCGTGGCGGACACTGGCTGCCGAAAACGTAGGAACGCAACGTACCCTTCGCCAAATCTGCAAGCAAACATATGAACAAAATTATTTAACATTAAAAGAAATAGAACTACACTTTCGAATCGTGTGACTATTGTTACGTCGCAACGTCCTTACTTAAAACATTTTACACCGATAAAACTGAATATTGAAATTTGCAGTTCAAAACTATCAAAAGCCGCCCGACTACAAAACCAACCAAAAAGATCAAAGGTTACACACACACACCCTGCTTATTAAACCGTCCTCTGAAAACCTCCGACAAAATCAATTTCACCGCACTCGGGTCGCCTTTGGGTCCCACAAAAAAATTTAAAAAAAAAGAAACGAAAAGTATAAGAAAGAAAAAGTTTTCCGACTAAACGAAGATCGTGGACGATAGAGGAGTTCGAATCGAGTTTTCCGCGAACGCAGGTCGTAAACGAACTTTACGGTGTCCTCCGGTAGCTCTCGGATATTGCGCACGGTATTTCATACATCCCCGGGAATATCGTACCGTTTATCCAACGAGGAGAAAAACCCGCGGGGTCCGACTCGCTTCTTGCCCTCGGAACCTTCTCTGGACGAACGGGGGATGGATTGTAGGACGCTGGTCGCACACGTGCGCGCGAGATATCGTAAATTCTCCAGCCACTCGATCGCTCTGGCTAAGAAAGAGAAAACGGTACCGACAGAAGGGGGCGTAAGAGGGACATTTTCCATCCCTCGTGGCATCGTTTCCGTGGGGCGAATAGGGCGCGACGTAAATATTTATGGCCACGCACACACGTTATTTCGTGCAGGAAGTTAAACGGCCGTGGCATTACAATGGCGTTGGTCTGGTAATGCGACAGACACCGTTGTAATAACGGAACGTAGGGAGAACGCATCAATGAATGAACACTTGAGAGATTTTTTAACTATTAAAGCCGAATTTTAAATTGTTGATGGTATTAGTAAATATTTGGCACGTGAAAATTATATTTTTTTAAGAAAAATTTGATTTTTTAAGTATAGATTTTAATTTTTAAAAGAGGAAATATGTAATTAACCCTTACTGTAGAAATACATATATGGTATCTTAATGTGTACACGTGGGTCACGACATATAGTATCTAAAAGTTGTAAATTAAGATATCTACTCAACAACTTTTTTTAGGCAAGGAGCAGGCTTGGTATAAGTTAGTTCTCCAGAAACCCAGAACCTCTCGAACTAGCTCCGCCACGAAAGACCCAAGTTTAGACATTAAGGGTTAATTAAATTAAAAAGAAAAAGTACTGATTTCACCAGTGAACGAATATTAACTAGAAAGTTAAAATTTCTAATCAAAAGCCTGAAAATTGTTTGAATATGAAACAAGGAATTGAATAAAATCAATATTTAATCATTTGTTCGTTTTAATAACTTAGTGTACTCGGTTTTTAGGGGGTTCTCCCGTTGTTTCAGGAAATGACGGTTTGGATTAAAAATGAATCGGCCGCGTTTGGACGGTCGAATTAATTGTCGCGATACGAATTTCGCTGGAAACCGAGAGGAGGGGACAATCGAACGGACACGGACAATCCATCAGTAGAAACAACATCATTAAAATGCACCAAGTAAAATAAATCCAAAGTGGATATTGGTACTGTGCATATTCGACGGGAATATTTGAACGTTTCGTCGCGACGAAATGGGTATTTCTCTATAGTTGAAGTTTTAGGCAGCACGTGGTGCTAGTCGTTATGTTCGCAAACCGATAATGGTGAAAATGAATGTCTTCGCGCGATGTGTACAGAACACAAAATATATCATTCATTTCAGAGTAATAAATAGATGCATAAGAAATGGCTAATGGTACTAACGAGTTCAGCTCTGGAATATATGCATGTCCTAGCGATTAATTGAGGCCCACTGCAAAAGGGAGTTGTGCCACAAAATGTTAAAAAACAAGATTTTTAATAATTCTGGCACCTCTTGACGTCTAGTTATTATCCCTTCATTTACAACTACATTATAGAAATGAAAAAGGATTCCTCCTCTGACGGAATTATTTCCTTCGTCCATTTTTACACAGTTTAGCGAACACCATGTACCAAATAACTGTTCAATCCTTTTTTTTTATCGCTATACAGAGCCACGAAAGGAATTGAATATGCAAAGAGATACTCAAAAAGTCCAAAGAAAAATAGCAAACTTACTTGTGCTTTAGATGCTGCGGTGTACCTATACACCTGAGACCGGCTTTGGCAAGAATACCGACTCGGTTGCACAAATTTTCGCACTCCGCCACGCTGTGCGAGGTCAGAATTACGCAACTCTGGTTCTTCGTCATGCATCTTATCGTCTTGGCTACCAGATCCTTCGTGGCTGGGTCCATGCCGCTGCAGGAAACGTAAATAAAACATGAACTTGGTGTTTCCGTTGTTTTCAAACGATTTTTTTTTGTCTCTTTCCCCCACCCTTTAAGTTCCCCACATTTTATGCTTTATCTACCGTACCTGGTTGGCTCGTCCATGAGAACCACGGACACCGGCGCCATAACGCTCAAGGCAGTGCACAGTTTCCTTTTATTGCCCCCGCTGAGACTGCTCACCCTTTTGTGAGCGTATTTCAAGAGATCCAGCCTCTTCAGCATCGACTCGACTGCCTGAAACAATTTTTCACGAGATTACATTATCGTAAAAGGGAAACCGTACAATGGAACTCCTGTGTTCCATTAATTATGCGTTACAAAGATCATTCTTGCGTTATATTAAATTATAAATAGTAATGAGAACAGGAAGACAAGATTTAATACAGTCTACTATTCATAACTTTGGAAGAAATGTAAAAATGTAAAAAAGGTTATAATTATTAATCCTAGAATTGTAAGACACTATTAGCTATACGTTGTATGTTTAACCCTTAAAAGCCACCGTAAAAATAATCCCAAACTGAATTTGTTTGTTATGTTCATTGGAAAATATGAGTGAGAGCTGATTCTTTTATAATTGAAAACTATTGATAATATAACTAAATACCTAAAAAATTAGTCGAGCTCATCAAAAAGTAATAAACGTGCCCTAAAACATATAATTTTCCTGAAAAATCACGTTTTCTTCATACAGTCTTAATACTTATAAACGGTAATATACCTGTATAACGCATTGCATAGTACCGAGTACTTCCTGTGTAAAACAGTACTAAAAAATCCAGGCATATACACTTAATAAACAGCTCCTTCTCAACGTCCACAGAGAGTGATTAAACCAAATCCACCTCAGTCCCGTTTATTCACATCCGTACCGAAGAAAGTCTGCAGAATGCTTCGAACTTACCTTAAGAAAAATCGCAGCCAAAAGTTCCAAGAAGTTCAGAAAAGAGCAAATTTCCAACTACTTAACGTTCCATACTTCCCTCATTTCGTACCCATTCCGAAGCTCGAACGCGAAATAATTAAAGACACAATCCTGCGCCGTGCGAGACTGTGTTTCAAAGATTCTTTGTAAACCCGCTGGGACATGTGTCGGAAGGTCCAGCCGTGAATCAAGCCTCACCTTCGGAACGTTGTTCAGCCCGCAAACTTCTCCGTGAATGGTCAGACACTGATGGGGACTGAGAAAACCGTCCAGGCCGTCGCTCTGGGGACAATAACCGACCTCCCCGTTGCATAACGGACCCACGCCGATCTCTTTGCCCTTCAGGATGATCCTGCCTGATGTTGGTATGATCTCGGTGGTCAGCATTCGGAAGGTGGAGCTTTTCCCTGCACCGTTCGTCCCTAATAGCCCGAAACACTTTCCAGCTTGTACGCCGATACTTAAATTCTGCACTGCCACGTTGGTCCCGTAAACGCTTCTGTACTCCTTTCGCAGCTTCACAGTCTGCAGGATGTCGTCTGACATACCGCTCTCCACCCTCATCCTCTCCTTCGAGACGTCCTCGTCCTCCTCGACGACCGAGTACGGGCATCTTTGTTTGTTCCAATTTGGTATCACTCGACATTCGATCATCAGGTTCAGGGAGAACAGAACGCTACCCACTACAGCAAGGAAAATGTAATGGAGACCCAGAAGATCCCAGCCCAATGGAGATTGATAGGTGTCCATGTTGAATTTTTCTAGCAGCTGAGCGGTGATGTCATTTCGGGATATTTGAACTAGGGCGTCGCCTAGGACGTATTGAGGGAATATTAGCAGGATGTGGTGCAAGATATTCCTTATGTTTTCCGCTGTCTTTGTTTTGCCGAGAATATCGAGTACCAAGATGGTGGCTAGCGAGGCCACGCCTATGAAGGTGTTCGTGCAGAAGAGGACCATGTTCGAGAGGCTGGAGTCGTCGAAGGCCTTTTCGGTTAAGTGCGAGAAGGGTATCGCTGCCCATCTGCAACAATTTCGTCTTGTTCAGAATCACAGGGATGTGAATTTGGTACATTCAAGCTGTAAAGGGATGAGCAAGGGGAGCTTCCTTCGAAGCGCGAGTAATTTATAAAATGTCATTTAGCGTAAAAATCGACAGTCTAGTGATAAATAGACGTTCAGAACATTCAGATATGAAGTTGTTCTTATTACAGAGGACAATATTACGTTCTCATCAACCCAGTAAAATGTCAAGTATGGTTGATACTTACGCGAAGAGGAAGAGTAAGAGGCAAATACCAGCCAGATTGTCTCTGGCGACGTAGGCAGGCAACCCAAAGATCTCGAAGACAATCACAGCCAAACCAATGGACAGACCAAACACCTGAAAATCCAGGATCGAATTCAAATCAGCCTCGAGACTTTATTCGTATTCCCGTTTCATCTGCCACTCACGAAAAAGTCCCAGATTAATGCAGTGGTCCAATAGGTGACAGGATGAACGCCCGCCAAGAGGAGGATCCTCTTTTCTTCCGACAGCCTTTCCCGCACCAGTTCCTTCGATCCTTGAGCGGCGACGAGATTGAAAGCGATTAGAAGCACCAATGCCACCCCAACGTCAGCCACGTGCTGTAACCTAAATCAAACAATACTTACATCAAGTTTCTCCCATGTACTTTGTCACTCGAAAGTTTGAAGAATCATTTAATTTTATCTTTTCTATAGAATGTGTATGGTAAACTGAACACTTTTTTTACGTCGCTTCCGTTGTACGGCGGAATTTTTCGATTGCGGTTTAAACGCTATTATTGGTTCCTAGGAACTACTAAAATAGTTTTGTAGTATTGAATAGTCTTGAATAGTTTTAAACTGTCTTGAATAGTTTTGAATACCTACTTTTAAATAATATTGAAATGTTTGAAAATAATTTTGAATAGTTTTGAATAGACTGGAACAGCCTTGAATAGTGTTAAACAATCTTGAATAAGTTCAAATAGATTTTAATAATCTTAGATTGTACTGAACAGTCTTGAATAGTCTAGTAATCTTGAACAGTCGTGTTCTTGTTTCGTAGTCTTCAAGTACCTTCAGTACTTTTTTTATTTTTACTTTAATCTATTTTCAATGAAAAAAACGAACATCAATATTCAAATATCTTGGTGAGTCGTGAGAATTATTATTATTCAACTTTTTATTCATGTATTAAGCATCCAAAATCATGCAAAAACATGGAGCGAAATTTAAAAATAAGAATTCCAGCAAGGTAACCCTAGCACTCGAATTCAAACGAGACGTAGCGATCACGGAAGCACGTCGGGTTAATTAAAAGTAAACGCAACCCACGCGACTTTGTTATATACATTTTCCGGCGCATTCTGTGTACACGCTACGATCAGCCTGGAATGTTAACGCCTGGACCCGGTAATTGGATGGCGCTTATCGGGAAGCGACAGCGCCTGTGAACGCTCTTTTTTTTTAAATTTTCGACATCGTTCGAGAATTGTCGAGCACGCAAATGAAAACAATGAACCAACTGCATTTTAAATTCGAGGCAGACAGTGAGCACACTGTGAGCAGCTGCAGTCTCTTCAGTTTTTAACGTTTTTTTTTAATGTTTCCATGTACTTATTGTTAATAAGCTTGCAGTTGCCCAGCTGCGTGTTGCGTTCTTAAAGCAATGTAACTAACCTTATTTTCCTATTCTAGTTGGCCCTCCTTAGTTAAAATCATTTTTCAAGATTTTTCGAAATATTTGACTACTTTTTAATTTGTTGATTATAGTTAGAATGCCCAGGGTACTTTGTGGGGTTCTTGAAAGAATCTAATTTAGTTCTCTTAACTGCTTTTCAGATGATTCTATTAGTTTATATTGTGCTATGTAATATCTACTAACATTATAAATTACATAGTAGTAAGTGATCACTTGAATGGCAAAACAATGAGCCGAGAAAGAAAGAATAAAGGTTGGGGGATTTCGTACGCTGTCGACAAGATGGCTGACGCGTGTCAATTGAAACTTACAGAGTTGTTCGGTTCAATTGATCGCTGGATAACCTTAAGGGATGGTTAAGGGTCGTTAGGCGACCCTGAACACCAGATGCTCGTAGAATCGCCTCGTTTAGGGCGCTCAGGTACGACGGCAACGCGTGATGACCCTTGTTGTTGTACCAGACGACGAAAAGTGGGTTGTCGTTGGCGTGAGACAACGACCATCCGCCGTATCTATAAAAGAAAAGAAATAAATTATGGGTGAAAAATGTTGAACTATTCAAAAATATGTTTAATTCTTTTGAATAATTAAACCCTTAAGATTATTACGTTCAACGACCATATGATATTCTTTTTAGTAGTACTCACGTATTATTATCAGTATCTGTTGGTAAATACGTAATAGCAAAAAATAGAATTTTTTAACATATATACATATAAGTATAATAAAGTAATTAAATAAATGCAAGGTATTTTATTTTGACACATTTCCCTAAAATATAGTAAGCTCTCAGGGGCTAACAAAGCTTAACAAATTCGAAATCGAATATTGTAAGTAGATGATTTTCCATTGGAATGGGCTGCAGAGAATAGAATGAGAATAGAAATCCTTGAGAACCTGCATAGATGTAGCTACCGGTTCTTAGATCCAGCAGGCCCTCGAAGAGTTAACATAGTTCTTTTCTAGTTTAATGAAGTTACCTTTTCTCTATGTACTCGTGATGGGTCGATACGATCCAATCGAGAGTCGGCCTTCCAGGCAAAACTTGGAGAAGGCCTTCGACTGCCTGAGACACGTCGTGACAGACCTGTTGGCCATCTAGACACTCGCAAGTTCCTGTATCCTGATTAAATAGAAAACTTCTTTTCGTCAGTTCAATTTAAAAGTATAATCACTCGACTGCAAATTTGATACACTCGTAACACGTGTGTGTACAACAAAGTTAGGAGAATCATACTTACAATACAATCTTACGAAACGCCTGCTGTTTAATGATTACTATTACATTGATAATAGATTTTTAGCGACAAATTAATGAAAATTAGAATGGGTCAGAAATCTTTTCACTTCTCTTAAGGACTCTATGAGGTTTCAAGTACAATAAAAACCTCGTTAAACATTATTAAATATCATATTGCACTGAGTTTTAAGCAATCACGTAAACTACGAATGCATAAAATTTGCAATTTACTGATAATATTTCGAATCATCATACATTGGGTAATGTCTGCCAAGCGCCAGCGTAATCATCGCCGAACCGATCGTGAAGCTGAAGGGACACATGTTGCAGGAACGAATCGTCACCGTTGTCGACGCTGTACATGATTCAAAAAACAAACATAACATTCAATAAAGTGTACATGGAGTGACCATTCGTCAGATCGAGTCTACGTACCTGTAGAAGTAAGTCGGATGAGTATCGTACAATTTCGGTGTGAGAGGGAGCGCAGGTTCATCACCGGATGGAGGTCTTATCAAAGAGAATCCCATGGCGACTGCGACGAACACCGTTGGCAAGAAAAGTCCGGCGAAGAATGTCATCCAATCCTTTCTGAAGTGCCATACCCTTTTCTTCAGCAAAGCTTTGACCTGCCTAATGGGACTGGGATTCAGAGAGGGATCGACGTCAATCAGGTCGACGTCGTCGTTGGGCATCGATAGACCTATGGAACAGTAAGTCCCATTCGATAATAAAATAATATCCTGTAAGTGTGATTCAAACGCAGACGTTTCAACATAACAATTGATGGAACCCGATTTCATTAAAATTTATTCATGTATTTATTCAGTAACACTTAGAAAGCAAGTAGATGTCTCCCAACGGGTGGCTACATTGATTCCAATTTACAAAGTAATTACTCCAATTTTGTGCAACTATCTCCATGAAACAGAATGTAGAGAATATTGAAAATATTATAAACACAGTATATGAAATATATGGACAAAGAAACCTTGCATAGTTAATTGTTGAAGGTAAAAAAGAAGTTGATTAGTTTGGCTGTTGGAAAGTCTATGACTATACTACAGTGAATGTGATAATCAAGGTATATTGTACATATATTCCACTACATACCAATGTGATCCACACTGGCGACGCTATCTTGGCTAGCTCTAATGACGGATGATCCACTCTCCGCACGAGAACAGAGATCTAAAAAGACTCTTTCCAGTGTGTCGCATTCCAGAGAAAAGTGGGAATAACCCACCAGTTTCCTACTGTCTTCCAGCATCTTCGCAGCCTGTGCAATACTAAAGAATACATTGTTTAACAAGCCATTGCTAACCCACCATACTTCTTGACCAAGTAAAGCAAACATAAAATTAACCTTCTTGGTATGATCACAGGTGTACGATAAATGCTCATCTACGACAAAGCATCGACATTAACCGAAACTTTAGTTTACCTTGTGGAAAATGAAATGGGACGTATAATATTACTACACATTGCTGAAATCGATGACAATACTGTGTATATCAGCAACACTATTCCTTTATCCCAATGTTGTTGCAATAGTGCCAAAACATAATTTTTTCAAGCGAGAAGGAAACCACTTAATATATAATTACATTGCACTGATTTTATCCATCAACTATCCCATTTATATTTATTTGTTTATCCTTCTTTAAATGCATGATGTGAATCTAAGTTAAATAAGTAGTAGTAAATAAAAATATGAATTTAGCTCAGGTTCGCAAAAATTGCAGTTACATAACTTTACCATTATAACGACAATTATATTCCATAATCTCCACGTAAAATAATTGCCCTCGTCCAATTGACTACCAAAAAAGTTAAAGCTCCAAATCGAACAGTTCAACTCACTTATTGTGCAGTCCACTCTTCCCTTGAAAGGGTAGCGTGACGGCAACCTCGGACCCAGAAACCTCACTGGTCACGGCGTTAGGCACAACCTCCTCGATCACACTCTTTAACGTCTCCAACCTAGTCTTTTCAATGGAATCCGTGTTCGCGTCGCGTTCTCCAGGATACGACACGAGCAGCCTGTACCCACGGCCGTGCATCATCTTCAGGGACAACGGCGATCCTGTGCACAGTATCTTCCCTTTGTGCATCACTACCACTGTGTCGCTTAACATGTCAGCTTCGTCCAAATGATGAGTCGACAGAATGACCGTTCTGCCGATTCTGTGCTGGTCGATCAGCCTCCAGATCCTCCTTCTCGCCGCAGGATCCACGCCTGCCCCGGGCTCGTCCAGGATCACTAGTTTCGGGGAGCCTAGGAACGCTAGAGCCACGCAGAGTCTCCTTTTTGTGCCGCCTGACAGACGGTACACCGGCTCGTGTTCCTGTTTGCCTAGCTCCAAGGATGTTAGCATTCTGTGAACGGACAATCAGATCGATTGCTAACATTTAGCAATAGATTATACGAATAGAAAAGAGGAACTTAGCTGCCTCTTGGGATAGAGGATATTTGTCCGGTTTTGTCAAATGAAACGTTGCTATATTCCTTTTATAAGATTGTACAGGGTATCCCATTGTGACTTTTTCGCGAAGATATCTACGAATTTGATAGGTATCGAAAAGCATTTCGGACGAAAGTTGATCGAAGGGGACATCTTGTGGTCAGACGTTTTTGTTAGAGGTAGAAGCTCTTCGGAGATTTCAATGTGAACTCTGCTTTTTTATCAGAATGGACATATTTTTTCTTACTGTGTGTGGTTAGCAAAGATAGCCATCTTTGTCTGGGATATACTGGGTGCGTCTCTCATTGGATGCCCCAAAGAGATCAGCTATAACCTACCGACCGATCAACATCGCGACATCAAAGGCCAATATCGTCCCTATGTCATCGGCGGCTACCATCGTGGAATCGACTGCGAGTGTGCACAGTTATCTGTCAAATAAAACTCTTTGGGGCCTGTAGCGGCAGAATCACCCTGTATGAATTGAGAATAGAAGAATCACAGATGATCCAGGTAGCTAAGTTGAGCATAGCAATCATCAGACCTGGATTTAATCTCGAAACCCCCGGTATACGTTTCTCTTCCATATTAAAAATGTATAGTTTATGAAAATAGAACGAGTCCATTAGTGTATAATAATATGGATGGACCAAGGTTATTCAAGATAATTCGATATTATCACTTCAGTCACTTTAATCAGCCAAACCTCTTGAAGTCTACTATACTCGAGCAAATAACGTCAAAGACAGAGTTTCCTAGCGATTCAGAAAGGCGTTCAATAGAACGAGAAGCCGCGTCGGTTAAACGTTAAACGTTTGACTCTGTAAAAAGCTTAAAGGTTTCCACGTGACGATTCGGAATTTAAGCAAAGTCAAGGGATCGGCAAAGGGAACTGGAGAGAGGAAGATGTTCCGTGAAAATGGAATTATAAAGAACAGTTTGCCGATCGACTCACTCGTCCACGCTTCGTTGCATATTAACCAGCTCCTTGGGCCGTTTTAGCTTCGCGTAGAAAATCATGTGTTCCCTGGGCGTCAAAGTACCGATGAGAACGTTATCCTGGGGGCAGACCCCTATGTCAGGTTTGCAGTCCTCTTCACCGTTCAAACAGATCTCGCCGGTGGTCGGGGCCAGCATCCCCGTCAGCATCTTGCTGAAACGAAAATACACACTCAAAAGACGGGAATGAATCCGATTCCGGCTCGCTTACGAATGGAAATCCTGGAGCCTTTCGTCGACGTTTTAAAGGGAAACGGTTACGACCCCGTGAACGCCACGGAATTTACGGGAAAATTGACGAAATTAGGGGAAACCTGGTAAAATAATGATTATTCGATGATCTAACATTTATTATAAATAGCTATTTAACCCTTCGAACCCTAAACACATTCGAATCTGAGTGTGACTGCCGCACGAATCCAAGGTGACCTTGGATTCACTGCGAAAAAATGTATCTTCGAAATGTTTGTTATCGTTATATGTTGTCCACTTGAAATAAACAAATTTTTTTAATAGTTTTTTTTATTAGATCATTGCAGACGCCTGAAAAATTGTGGTAGCTTTGAGACTTAACACCCTGCATATGGGTCCTTAATCTAGATTGTGGGTGTGTAATCGTTAAAAGGATAGAATAGACCCAAACCCAGACCTAAAATTAACTGTCACATAAATATTCAATTATGTCGAAGTTGATTGCAAAATTCAGACAGATGGGAAGTCAAGTGTTAACCGAAATCTCACATTAATAATACGACTTCAGTAGACGTTTTAATGGCAATACAAGTTCATTACGTGTTTAATAGATAAATAAACATGGACGTACATGATAGTCGTCTTTCCAGCCCCGTTTCTCCCAAGAAGACTGGTCACCTCCCCCTCGCAAAGCTTCAAAGTGAAATTGTCGACGGCCACTACCTCGCCCTGATCGGTGTTGTAGACCTTCCTAACTCCCTCGAACCTAACACCCGTCTGTTTCTCGTTCACTACTAAACCGCTGGCATCGCTTTCCTCGTCTGTACACCGTACCGCAGAAAAAAAACAGATATCTTTAACCATAAATGGACCGATATTCATATACCAAAAGGAGAAGCAAGCTCTTACCATTTATACAGCTAATCAGATCCTCGAGGAAGCGTGTTAAAATAGTTTTGGTAAAAAAAAAACTTGCATGCTTCCAGCAAATCTTTTTATTCTCGATTTTTCACGAGATATTTGTGTGTTAAATAAAAACGAGTTCGTACGAAGAAAGTCATGCGATTCATGCGACACATGCAGAGTATGACGGCTTTAGCCACACTGATGTGCCTAAATCATCGGACGCTTGATGTTTTGTATTTTAGGCGGGAGTTTATGGAACAATGTTATTTTGTTGTTTCGTTTGTATGTGTTACGATGGCTCTCAACGTAAATTAAACGCCTCTCAGAATTATTTTTTGACAAATGAGAATGAATTTGCATCTGCTCGGAATTATAAAAGATTTTCCACAATTGACACTCGTTAATAGAATGAAGAAGTTGTAGCGCCGATCGTGGAAAAAAGTGAAGAGGTCAAGTCTAAGTCAAGGTAGAATTTTGTAGAAAACTTACAAAATGATTTGCAGAGTGTCGTAGTTAATTCGAATAGTCTGGTATAAAATAATTAACTAAACAAGAAGTAACATAATTTACATTTTTTTTTGTAAAGAGAGGAATCAAAATTTGTTTATATCATTATTTATGTAGAGTCGTAAGATCTATTTTTAATGGGCATTAAATGTCGGTTTGGTGAACCTAATCTTGAGACAATCTTCAATTTTCAATTCGTTCTAATTTTACAGTTAACCATGCAAGTGTCCAATGACTTATGGACGACAGTGTATGTGTAGAGTGTTTCATTCATTTTTATTACCTGGAATAACTTTGCACCGCTTCTAGAGTAACTTTTACATCTTTACGTAATCTAACTACATCTGACACGAGTTCGTGCATTCAATTGAAACTGAAATCCGTTTACCGTGTCGCCGTAAATAGAAATCAAAATATATTTTCGTCCTCTTGCACCATTCAGCCCATTTTGATCAGAAATCGATGTTGCATTTTCAATTATACCTTCTATTAAAATACTAGTAAATCAATTTGAGATAAAAGCGTTTAACATATATTACAATCTAAAGACAGCTGAACATATTTTCTCCGATCGATCTCAACAGTTGGATTCAATTGAATTTAACGATTAGAAATGTAACATCCTAAACGGTACAGGAAACTTAAAGTATTATACATTTTTACATTGAAAAAATAAGTCCTACAATATTTTTTTTTTTTTAAAAAGCTGTCGTTCCTTTATGCAAGATATTCTAAAAGTCATTATACCATAATACACGTAACAGTCTGCAAACAAAAATGTTCACGATCTTGATGTCTGCGAAAATTTGATTTCGTGGAACCAGTATTAATAAAAAACAAAAATATTCCAGATGATTAAGATGAATGGAGATACTCCATTACACAAAGTAGAAAACACATCAGAAAGAAATACAGGGAAACACGGATGAATGTATAATACATATAAGGCGGATGATTTAAATCATTCCGAGCCTCGACTGTTCACGCCAGAATCAAGCAAACGCAGGCATGCATACTATCAGGAAGAATTTCACCGGTTCCCAATGGGCCAGGACCGAAACATTGAATAAATTAAGCGTTCCGGACGCGCATTCTCATTTCCTCCGCCGGTAGAAGCAACAACATGCATTTGCATATTCGGCACGTTCCAAATATTCGAATGACTCCGTCTCACGCGAAATTTTACGAAACGGACCGATGTTTATGCAAATTAGAATGGCATTTCGTCTTGCTGGTACAAGTTCGATGTATTACGAAACCTGTGTTTCAAGAGGTGTTAAAAGAATATCGGGATCTAAAGATAAGAAAAATTCGTGTGATCGAACTGACCAAAAAGTTCGTTTCCTTTTACTTACAATTTTTCTTTCTTCGAGTCAACGAATAAAGAAATTTCAATGGAACAACGTTCTTATATTAGGTTGTTGCACGTGAAATAGCCATTTCATTACTGGCACTTAATATTATATTGAACATTATAAGAATTTTATTAGACGAAGTAAGATTAAATAGAATCTGTATACGGTTTTCATGGAAATACAAGTGTTGTGCTCTTGTTATACAATGTACCTGGTTGCACAACCGGATAGGGGATGATTCTGCGTGGGAAAATAAGTCGAAAATGTAAAATAAAATTTTTCCATTTGAGACTTCGTTTCCGAGAAAATCGACTTTGAATATCTGCTGGATACGCGTGCCATTGAATAGGACTTGGGTAGCACGTCTGGTCAGTACATTCCGTTTCTACTTACTATCATGTAGTATTATCATGTAGTACACGCGTTTCAAATGAGTCTTCAAAGTCGAGTTTCTTGAAAGAAAAGTCTCAAGTGACCAAATTTTATTCTATATTTTCAACTTATTTTCGACTGTATAATTATTATTTTGCAGTCGACTCTTCGCTAAATACTATTTTCTAACAGAGATTTGGATATGTTTTTATGAAGATTTTTTATGAATTTGGCTTAAGTGTCCATCTTTCAATGCATATGAAGGAAATGTGATTAATTCTTCACGTTAATTAACTTTACAATTTAACATAATCGATTTTATTGATATTAGATAATACCTTGAAACGAACGATCACGCTGTGTAATTTTGCCATAATGAAAAGTGCTATGGTAATTATGTTCATTCCTGAAGTAACATCAAGTATATCTATCGGGAAAATCGGACATTTCACGTGCAACGACCTAATATTATATGCAAGTTTGACAAATGATATATCGCGTGTTCTCAATTTGTTGGAATTAATGTATTGTCCGCGATATGAAGATCCCAAAGCCGATGGCGATACAATATTCATCGTACAAAGCGAATGTTTCTGATAGACAAGCAGTTTAATGGGTCAATAAAAAATGTTCATTTACGAAAAGAAAAATCGTTAACTTCCATCACGAAATTGCTTTTGATATTACACGCCATCAACGAACGTTCTATCAACGAACTATCATCCGTTCCCGTCAGTTTTTAACGGTTTAAATGGGATGAAAATACAGAAGACAGCTTCTTTAAAGCAAAAAAAACAAGCTTGTAGCTTTTGGCATACGAGACTCTGATATCTACTATCTAAAGCCTTCAAAGTCATACGAAACAATGTCCCCTCCTTTTATTAACTTTCTTTACCATTGAAAGGAACCTTTTTTACCTATACTGTTTCATATCCAATATTTAGACTTTGGTTACAAATTTATAAAACGACTTGCAAGAAAAATCATTTTTTTACTATGTTTTATAATAAACACAGAAAAGGTAGTATTAAAATATTAATGATACATTATATTTTAGTACAAACTATTGTCCTGGTAATCTACTAAGATTACTTATTGATACACCTAATAGCTGAAAATGCTTGTTATGTCTATCAACATTTCTTCGTATCTTCAGGCTTAACCATACATCGTCCCTTCACTGTATGATACATACGAATAAATATTTCACTAATATTACCATATCGACCAATCATAACAACAACCACAGTGAACCCTCGTAATTACTACTACCGTACACCATTATCACATTTCGTAAATTTCAAACTGTCCAGTAACCTCATCAGAAAAATCAAAATAACCAAAATACATACTCAACAAAAAACCAAAACCCTTTAAAAAATTCCCGCGAATAAACCACGAAGAAAGAGAATATTCTCCGAAACGCGAACGGTTCGAATCTAATCCTCCTGTCGTAAAAAGTTTCCATTCGTCCCTCGAAACCGAAGTGAAACACCGGGAGGAAATAAAGCTCAAAAATATATCAAGGACGCGAGAGGACGGAACTCGAATAGAAGGAGAGCATGCCACGCCGTCAGAAGTGGCCCCGGAAGCGAGAGAAAAAGAAAAAAAAAAGAAAAAGAAAGAGAAGCCTCGAGATATCGTGCGAGAGCAGAAAAGCAGGGGCGGAGTGCGATACCTTGGTAAGTGGCTGAAGGGTGGAGAACGTCGTTAGTGAAATAGAGGTTGTTGACGAAGGCGAGGTAGCTCGGACCGCCATAGAGGGACCGTGTGTCGGCCCACCATAAGCTACGGGACCTCAAATCGTGAAAGCGCCTGCCTGGAAAATTATTGGCCGGATATGGCTGCTCCGTTCGTTCCAGAAAACTCGCCGCACGGTCATCGACTTCTTTCAGGGGGCGGAGGGGGTAGAAGGATTCTTGCTCAAGGTCACTCAAGGACGCGCCTCGACACCTCGCCCTTCTGGCTTTCTCTCCTCGGTCTGGTGCCTTGCGGTTTTTGTTAGATGGGAAGAGGGACGAGGTCTCCGTGAAATTTCACGGGGAACTTTACGATCGTTGGCGAGTCGGGGGTGCATGTGAATGCATTATCGTTACTCTGTTCTGGTTGCCCCTCAACGTTTTTATCGCGTCATCAACGGTGGGCCGGGATGAAATTCGCCGAGGAAACTTAACGCGCACCTCGTACGCTCCTTGATAAAATTCAACGAATCGACGGATGTGGGCGGGCTTGCTAAGAATTTCATGGCCATTTCATTGGACCGGCCATTTACAAGGGAAAGTCAAAATGTAAAATGGTATTTTCGATGGAATCTAGGGGATGGTGGTACTGATGATATTCGGGGTGAATGGATGCAGGTAGCCAGGTAATGGCCGCCGTGCTTCGAGCCCCCGAGTATTGGTTGCGAACAACGTGGATAAGGATTCCTGAGTGGTTATGGTTGCACATCGCGTCCAGTCGTCTCACTTATCACTGTATTACTCTGTTGGTGCATTATTATGTTACCGTGTTACTGCATTACTGTATTTATTTTGTTTGTGAATAATTGTATTACTGTATTACTCCATTACAGCATTACTCTGTTACTCTGTTACTCTATTACTCCATTAGACTATTACACTATTACTCTATTACTCTATTACTCTGTTACTTTATTACTCTGTTACTCTATTACTATATTACTGTCTTACTCCATTACTGTATTACCGCATTATCGTAATATTATATTACTATATTATTAAGGAAAAATGGGGTAATGGTGGTTAGCAGGCAATTTTGGTCAATATCATCTATGAGCGTATTACCTAGTTTTACCCTATACCCTTAAAAGTCCTTCTACTTTCTGACTTTCCCTCCTCGTTCCTTACGTCACCTTACCAAACGTCGTCGACCATCTCAGTGACTGTTACCGACAAAATACCGATGATAAAGAAAGTACACATACAGCATAGAGAATCGTAATTACCTGCACCAGAGAGCACGAAGGTGCTACCGGAAGCGGAACGTTCTGTGTTAGAGTATTATCATCGTGTGTTCGTGATCTTTAGAAATAATCGTACATACGTAACTCGAACGAATTGTCAGGTACATATAAGAAAATGTGAAATTAAAATTAGAGGATAGTAGAGAATTTTGTAAAGTGACTACCGCTCGCGACACCCTCCACCAGACGTTGACAGATCGGATTCAGAGAGTCCAAAGAGTGTTTCCATTTCGGAGATTAGATGGAAATGGTGAGTTTCTACCTGAGTTCGTGTATCTGGCGATGATATAACCGATTAAGGCGTACAGACAACCGTCGAACGCAATCATCAGGAGGATCAGACCCAAGGTCATCGGATCACCGGAACTGGACTCCTCCCACATGGAGGACCAAGTTAGCCCGACACCTTGGACTTCCTTTCGGGCTGCGTACAGGCAACCGTAACAGAAGCTGGTCGACATACTGAGGCACTGAAAATTTCATTGATTATATGAATATGAAAAATTAGAGATAAGAATGGAAATATACCATGCTCAGAATAATTAGAGGATCATGTAGTTGCATGTAATTAGAATAGGATATATAATTTCCGAAAAGTTTTTTATAGAAACATAACAAGGTGTTAATGATGTTAGTATTCTACACTATAGTATACTGTGCAGTATACTATAGCAATTGTTCTCTTTCTTTCACTTGGTGGGTGCAGCAGAACAGGTCACATTAATGATCTTCTAATCCTTTTGAGCAGTGTAGATCGGTGCAAAAACATTGGGCACAAAATTCACAAATGTTTAACTGTTGCTTAATTTTAAATACACATATTTTTGGAGGTGTTGCCCTTTACGGACCTACGTCGACATAGACTCGACATCCAATTCTACTTCAATCGAGAACAGACAATAAAACAGATAATGGAAGCTCAGCAAGAGTTCAATAAATCGAGCCACGACGAAAATTTCGTTCCGATAAATCGAGTTCAGATAAATGGAATTCTACTGTACTTCCTTTCCATATACATTTCCATAAAGCGATCGCCAGCTTCGATAAGAATCAGAGGCGAAACATCGCGATTCTTCTGGGTTGTACGATAGAATCCGATACTATTCCAGGACAGCCGTAAATCGTTTTTTTTTTTTTCGTAGACTTAAAATTTTTCGCACAAAAGTGGGGCTGTGTGGGGCATCTTATCGTGAGCGGTGCAGTTTGCGAAAATGAATCGTTCGAACGCGTTATTTATCACGGGGGAATGCTCTCGCAACGACGTGGACGATAACTTACGATGAGAAGCTTATAACCGAGACCCAATGCGGCCTCCATAGCAATGACAATGACGTACGGCATGAATGTCAGTAAAAACATAACCACGGTGGTGATAGCGGCCAGGCTCGCCGAGCTGCACACCGTCGAAATCATGTAACTGGAAAATTTATCGGTATCCTTTAGCAAACGAGATGATCCCTGTGTAAAGAATACCGGATTCGACGGAAGATAATGCTTTTACCAGAATGTCACTATAGCGAACGAGTAATCGATCATCATGATTAGAACCAAGAACGGATCTGACTTTGGCAGAATCTTCCCTGCCAGGAGGACCAACGCGATCGAGATCATTACGATCATCAGCTCCGTGAAGGTGGTGATGAACCAGGCCACGGTGTTCCGCCAGGGCTTCAGCCCCATTACGCTCATTACCTGAAAATGAAGAAAATCTCAATATGTCTAACAACTTAAAACTTGAAACTATAAACTTGTAACTTTATAATACTAAATTCAAGTTATTCCGACTGAAGATAATTAAGTGTATAAATTTATAACGTTAAAAAGTAGGTAATAGTGCTTGACTTTAGAGTATCAATAAGTAATAATTAGACTGCGGATGTTCTTCCGAATTCACAATTTTAGACACTAATTTAGGAGGAGAATTGGCCAAAAATTTATTTTTGCACCAAATATTTTGCAATATCAAGGATAACGTATAAATATCATGCATCCTTAATTATGATTTTATTTTGCAGTGTTTTGCAATTTAAGAAGTTCCAGAATAGATACACATCCGCAGTCTGGTAAGGATTTTTTAGTTTATACGTCAATAAATGTTCTACCTAACAACCGTTAAGTTCATATATCAGTAAATAATAATACAGTGACTCACAAATTTGTTCGTGGAACGATGTTACGTTCCACCAAATTACATAAAAAATTGTAAACTTTATTCTGTAATAAGTTTTTAAAAACATGTGTGAGTGATTGTATATAATATTATGTAGTAGTAAATAATAGTGTTGTATTATGTCAAGTTTACAATTACCATTGCATTCTGCGACTCCCTCTCCCAGACAATATGTCTGACAGCCGCCCCGACGCACATCATCAACGCGAAGAAGAAGCACACTTGAATCCCTTGAGACTCGTATAGGGTTGTTTGAAACCTGCAATTACATTTTGTTGCTAATTCCATTAGGGTGTTCTAAACAATATTTAATTTTAAACGATACAAATTAGCTTGGTTTATATAGGGTCAACTGAGTTTCTCATTATGTGTTTAACCCTTTAAGACCCAGTTTGTTCAAACTTTCAAAATAAGTGTTGCACCGTTCAACAATGAAAGTAAAAAAGTTAAACAGGCTAAAAAACAAAACATTAATGCCAGAGTCGACGGATAAAATCAATGCAAAATGATTTTACATAAATCAAGAAAGTGAGTTTCTTCTCTCCTAAAAAATTACGCTTCAGCGACTTAATTATTTAAACGACGATATGTCATCCCATTAAATCGGCGGCAACCTTACGTCAAGTAATTAATACACCTGTCAATTGATTGATATCAAACCAGTGATACACTCACGGTACGTCCTTCCAACAAGGGTAAGGCATCTGTTGCGTCATAGTTCTCCACTCCTGGTCCCTTCCGCTCTTCGTCCTGATGATCGCGCGATCGATCGAGTCCTGAAGCTGAACGAATCCCCTGAGATATCTCAGGTGCTCTATGAAACTGCTCTCCGGCCCGGGAATCCAGAATTGATTTTTTAATCGTTTCGTGGACTGCACGTAGTCAACGTCCATTCGTATCTTGTACGCGACATTATCGGGCAGCTCCGATTCCGTCGATCTTCTCGATCTACTTGGGTCATTGTCCAAAAAGACAACGCCGGCCAAAAACTCTCGCGTCTCCATCAGAATCCTGGATTCCGCTTCCATCTCCTCCTCGCTACGGAATCCTCTTACACGGTCGACAAGCACGCACCGTAATAAATCATTCAGCATACCGACCATCGCGATCAAACGCTTCGACTTCTTCAGCTGCCACGAAATCTCGCTGAGATTCATGTCCGAGAAATCGCCTGGAATAGAAGACAACGTTCAGATGGTATGGTCGACGTCCGCTTGTTCGAATAAGGGACAAGCAATTTTGTTGGAGCGAATAGAGTGATTTCTATAGCACAATGGATTTGGACGAGATAGAGAGATAGTATTTGATTATCTTTTGAAATTAACTTACCGTTGAAGTTCCCGCCACCGAAAGACTTAATCGCGATCTTCATGACATCCGAAGACATCATGTCCTGTATATCTTTTAGATTGTCGCTCATCTCGGAAAGGTTCGCCAACGAAGTGAGAGTCTTTTCAAAACTGTCCATCAGCACCCCAAAACTTTCCATTTCCGCAAAAGTCTTATTGGCCAGCGTCATGACTTCATTTATCACCGTTGTATTTGGCGCGTAAAGGATTTGTCCGCGTAACAGGGGTTTGACATAGGACCATACAATCTTCCCGCCTCCCATGGCGATGAAACTCTTGTAGGTGTCTCTACAAAAATCGGCTGCAACGAAAAATATTCATTTTTTTTCTCTGCGGAAATTCATTCAATTAAAAATATCAATTTTCATGGGCTAATTTACAGATACCAGAGTTTGAGATCTACAGGGTGGTAAACAGAAGAGTTCAGAACATTAAGGGTAGATAGTATTCGCTGGAAATGAGAGGAGGACATACAGAAAATATTTCTCTAAATTTTCCTCCATTTGAGTATCTACCTTTACATTTCTGAACCCTTTTTTACCACCCTGTAAATACAATAAAAACTGCATTAGTCCTCAGTAACCTTTCTACTGAACTGTCAATCAGTAAAAGTATGTATTATAGGTCCATAAAGTCCACTCACTTAATTTGATATTTATACATACTGGGTAAGGAATCAAGCTCCGCCTGGTCAAATTCTTTGGTATTGTCCTCGATCCTTGAAATGATCTTATACAAGTCACCGTTGTCGGAGACCATTGCCTGACCGCACAACATTTCACTAGAATCTTGCAGGAACCTCGAAGCTGCGGAATTGATAAACATTTATTTGTAATTTAAACTATCTTAGTACCATTAAAAACAACTTACTGGAGACTGATTGCTCCACCTCTTCCTTCTCCACGTCCGATTTCAAAGGTTCCGCCGATGACATTTTGGAAGTCAGTTTCTCTTTGAAGAATGGCAGCAGCTCCGCTGCTACCCCAAGATTGTCCAACACCATCTTCCCTTCAGTTTCTGTTAAGTTCGCGTTAGCCAATATGTTCTTCACGTTCGCGCTCATCACCTAGAGAAAAATTGTGTCTAGAATTGTTAGGGTATGTGTCTAGACAGTTATCTGAATTTTCGCTAGCAGTCGTTGAAAACACAGCAACAGCAATGTCCGGCGACTAAACTTCTTTGGACGCCTATAGACGTCAATCGAACGCTATGAGCGAATTTTTGCAAAGCATCGATAGGCGCCAAGAACAGTGAAATGATTAAAGGGTAAAATACAATTGATGTTTTGGTACTCACTGTTTTGAAAATATAATCGAAGTTCAAGTTCTTGATCAACGCTACCATCACGTTCTGCGTCTGTGAGTCCTCCAGCTGACAAATGGCGGCGCTGACCTCCTCCGCGGTGATCCGTCCCCCAAAGCTTAGCATCTCGCCGAGTTTCTTCGGCGAGCAAATGATCTCCTTCAAGCTGAGAGCTCTTCTTTCTTTCATGAACACGGAAATCATGTCGATTTTCGCCCGGCTGAGCATCAAAGCGACGTCGTTCGAGATCCCAACTTTGTTCACCAGATACGAGCTAACCACATCCCAATTGTCGAACATATCTCTAATACCATCTGGAAACAAGAATCGAATGGTACTGGTGGCATGTGGTATGATATGATATTTATTGAAAGATATCTCGAGATCTTACATTTTATGTCAAGAAGACCTAAGTTCTTGAAGATGTCCATCGACTCCAGTGCCACAATCATACGGTAGACATCGTCCAGGACTTTTTCATCCTTGATGAACGGTTTCACGTCCTCCACTATTTCTCTCATTCTGCAAGATCAGAGTGTAAATTGACGGAGATATTGAACTGAACAAACTATCAAGTGGCGTATGAATCCAGTATGCTTGTCGATCGATATTGAAATTGCACGATTGCTTATTGTCTATATGTATACATTAAGTATATCAACACGTTAACCGTTAGATGAAGTTATGAGTTATATATGTATAGGAATCGCGTAGTGATACCCACATTTCATGGAAAATTTTATGTTTTTCATAAATGTTAATTGCAAGAAGTAAAACTGAAAATCCTCAACACTTGATGTTTTTGCTCATGCGAATTCGCACCAATGTGCCTACTACGGGAGGACTTTCAAAGGAATTCACTAATTTCTCAAACATTTAACCACACCATCAATTACCGATCTATAAAATCTTGAAGCTTGACACACGATCGACAAGTAGACCGAGCGTTCAACACATCAATGTATGTACATCCACGAGAAAATTCGGCTACAATTTGGTACCGGGAATTACTGAAATATATGATAAATTAACGTTCGATTTAACATTTATTTCAGTACTTGAAATAAATTTACCAAGTGGTAGGAAGCTTTTCTCTTACGTCACTTTTTCCCCTAGCGGAAGCCGAGTTTGCTCACGAAGGTAGATTGGATCACTTTACTCATCCGAGTTCCTCGATTAAACTCACCCGTCGAAAAGCTTGTCCACCGTTTTATCCTTCAGTAAATTAACCACTCCATCGACGATGTCAGGAACACCAAGGACATTCGAGTAATCCTCAAAGTCGATTTTACTGGCCACGTCGAGGAGATCGCCGCTCTCCGCGAAAACGACGGACAAGTGGCTCAGGATCTCTTTGAGCCACGTTAGATCCCACGCGGCCTCCATTCGCCAGCCCTTCAGCTCACGATCGATGCGATCCAGATCGAGACTGTTAGCCAGTCGATCGGAGATTTCCACCAGAGAAGGATACCCAGACGCTTTTGGATCGTACCGAAACAATTTTCCCGCCTTTTTCGAGCTCAGAACGTCGTATAGGACCGTTGCGTTCCGACATTCCAGTTTTGTACGACACAGAGAACCGTTTCTGTCGTTCGAGACAGCGTTCACGTTGATCGTCGCGCCAGGTAAGAAAGACTCGATCATCTTTGTGTCCGACGGTTTCACCACTTCGCTGAGGTGCTTCCAGATCGGTACGTATTTCTCCGCTTTTTTGGTCAACGTGTCGAGGGCCTTGTGATTTCTGGCTGTGTCCAGGATGAACAAGTTGTTCTGCAGGGTATCCAGGATACCCAGCACCATTGAAACGTGCCTTGAACGAAATTTGTTGGTTTTTAGGTCTTGTAAAGTTAGACGTTGAAAAACATTTGCTTTGGACTTTATGCGTATCATTCTTAAACTCTCAGGTATTGTAGTTTGTTACTAGACTGCAGAGGTTTATGTATGTTCACAAATTTCATACACTAATATGTAAAAATTGAACTTTAGTAGACTCTTATTTTCTATACTACTGGTTTCGGTACGTTAATAATAGTATACAGGATACGATCGAAAGGTTTGTACATCTAGACAGGAGGAGATTCCTGATGCAAAAATAAATGAAGAGTAGAGAAGAAAATTTTCTTATCTGAAGCTTTGTTTCCGAAATAATCGAATTTAAAAATTTGTTGAATACACGGGCAATAGAACAGGACTTGGCGCACGCGTCTGTTCATTGCAGGCCGTTTCTACTTATTACTAGTACAAAATATGTGATTTAAATGAACTTTCCAACCGAATTTTCTTGAAAATGAAACCTCAGAAGAAAAAAATTTATTCGTTCTTTTCGACTTATTCTTTCTTATAGAGTAACCTCCTGCCTGCTTGTACCATTCTTACGGCCACATCCTGTACAAATAGTGTTAAACTCTGTTGAAATTTTCATTTCAACGCATTTTACATGTTAGAAGATACTGTATAAAGAGCGTAGACACCTGCAGTCTAGTAAACATTGGTGAGTTGTGCAATCTTATGAAGGGAATACCTACCAAAGCACCCCAGCAAGACACTTATCAAAGATTCGAATTCAAAGCTAACATTTTTCTGGTGAACAATCAACAGTTATTTTAATCAAACTTCTTACAATCCCGGCCTGGATAACGGTGGTTGCCCGAAGAACTTGTAGTAGCATTGGCTGACCCTGTCGCTGTAAGTTTCGTTTTGGAAATCGACCATAATGTCGACCACGTAATGCAACGTCTTCTCCAGAGTCTGCATAAATTCATACCTAGTCCGTTTCACGTTCAGTGTCTTATAATTCTTCATCTAGAAGATCGAACGGAATGTTATCAAGATAATCAACCGTACCCAAAGATTTTACAGGGGTAGTTTGTGTCATAAGCACCTCAAATACTTTATAGAATGTCACTTTTCATAAAAATCCGCAGTTTAGCAATAAGTATGGGGCTCACCATGTCGACAGTCTCGTTCCAACGAAAATCACGCATTAAAATCCCATGAATCTCCGACACATTCAATCGATTCAGCTGGCAGAGGAGCTTCGAGTAGAGATGATGGTTCGCCAGCTGGGAATTCAGTACATCCAGCGGAAGTGTCGAGCACCAGGAACAACCCCTGAAAAAGGCCACCGTCTAATAAGCTACCAGGCAATAAACAAAATTCTGCGAGCTACTTACTCGGTATTCTCGGCGGAATTCAGAATATCCCCGGCGATCCTGGACAGTTTTTTCACTGTCAGGTGAGCAAGCGTTCTAGAGTCCTGAAACAATTCGAGTCGTGAAACGTCGGGAATTCGTTGGAGTTTATAATTAAAATATACAAGATGTTAATAAAAATTTCATTCTCGGGGTGGATTCTACGTGCCAAACTAAAACGAAAATCATCAAAAATGACGAAATTGTGTTCGAGGCTTCGTTTCCGGGACATTAATTGTTCAAAAAAACAGTAAATCCTCGATGAATGTTCGACGGTTTCTCGGCACTAAACATTAAATATTTCATAAACTAATAGCCATATGCGACTGAAACAAATATCATTGGCTACAGAATTCCAAGCTCTATCGCTGTGCTATACTTCATTAAAAAGTGAGCGTTACACCTGGGGACCTTTCCTTGTCAGTACCTAAGTGTCTGCAAATTCTCATCAAGTATTTACTGTACAGTGAATTGGCACCATGACGCCACTGTCGCGTCATCATTCGTCATAATTGAAAGACAGTAGTTTCTACGTACCTCTTTTTTGTATTGGGTTAGGAAGTCTTTAAAAGTGCCCTCCTTAAAAGATGTCCACCAAGTCGGAACTTTTGGCTCTTTAAAACCCTCCGACATAATCCGAACGAACGTCGATTGCATTCGATCTATTCTTTCCAGAAGGTAGGTTTCATTGAACTCTCTCGAGTTATTATGTAACATTCGATTTTCCTGAAAACAATGTTAATCATTCGATCTAGAATCTCGTGACACATCCATCATTCTGACTAAACAACAGATCACAATGATACTCGGAATTTTCAGTATACTGAAACTATAGTGAATTACTTATTGATACACTTAATAAAATAGTTCAATGGTTCAATTAAATGTATTCCCTCTCTACAGTCGCATTACTCAGGACTGGCGTCGCGCTTATAGAGAGCATCCCTCTCACTTGCTCATCACTACCTTTAAGAATCCTGATGCTATTATAAAAAAGCGAGCAAAGTTTATAAGGAGGGAATACACGTGTCTAATTGTTTCATAATTTTCATAAAAAATTGATGGTAAGATTAATCGTACGTGTACCTCATACTTCGCGTCCAGAGGCAGTATATCCACCAACGTCAGCTGATTCTCGGCTAGGACGATCTTCTGGCAGAATTTGGTGATGCTCGACAGAAGGACCTTCTTCCTGACGAAACCAGGCACGATCAAGTATTTGTCGATGTCGCAGGGATGCGCCTTCCCGAATGCGAGCTTCTCCACGAAATCGTTCAATCTGTCCGACTTCACGAAAGTGTCGACCACGCTGACGGCGATGTTCGGCGTGTCTTCTACTAGCGTCAGGACAGGCTTCACCTTCGAGTTCTCGTAGATGACACGCAGCTTCTGCCAAATGTCCCCGCCGGCCATTAAATTGACGGTCGCGTCCAGAAGTTGACAGAACCGGACTAATCTGGCGAAAGCATCCGGGGCCCCGATGATCTTGCCCAATTTCGACTGTCCTAGATCCGCGTTCCTGGCGTCCATTGAGTATCGACGCACCCAGGCCTGGCCGATGCCACGAATCTCGGATAGTGTCTCGTTCGACAGATTCCTCCAGGTGGTCGAATTAAAAATATTCGATTTTATCGACAGATCTGGCATCTCGGTCGTGAGATTCAACGCAGAGTCTATTAACTTGGACAGGGATGCGCTCAGAGGTTTTAATTCGATTACGGTCGGTGCTGGTCCTGTCAAGAGGCGCTGGAAATTTTCCGTTTAGTATATTTAGATATAGTTAATAAATGAAATTTTTGTAGTATACTTAATTTTAGAGAACGATACTTTGTTTCATTGTTGAGGACAGCGGTATAGCTTGAGGGGGTACACCACCTTCTAGGCCCAAAAAGAATAGGTGAACTTGAGAGTTTTTCTGAGGTAATTAATCGATAAAATTTTCGAATCTTTTTAAGGGATGTTGGGCAATATGTTAACTTTATTTTCATAGATTAGTTATTGTTTAAAATTACAAAATGGTGTATGTAGTTGTACTACATTTTCTACCGCCGTGTCTAGTTCAAATATCACCTAACATCCCTTACAAAGATCTCAAGATTTCACTCGATAATTACCTGAGAATTAATATTAAATTTACCTATTTCTTTTAGACCTACAAGTTAGTATACCTCCTTATATTCGCGCATCAGAGATTCTATGAACTCACGGAATATTCCTCGCTGGTGACGGTCTTTAGCAGTTGATAGGGGTCGAAGGAACATACTTCTTGGATGAATCGTTTCCTGTTTGCAGTGGACCAGTACGGTAAAGGATCGCGATTGTTACAGATAATTTTTCGTATATCCTCGAAAGCGGTCAAATTCCCTGTGTTTGCGCTTATCGTGGCCACTTGAGCTGCTAAAGCGATGGTTTCTTCGGGGTGCACATCGAGGATCTTCAGCAACTGTCGGACGTCACCGCTTTCGATAAAGTCCCAGATATGCATGCGATTGTTCTGTACCTTGACGTTGTTCAACGCGTTCGCCACGTGAACCAGAACTTCGGAAACGCCTTCGATGACGAGTCTGTCATTGGTCCATTTGTAAGACTGTCCTTGTTTCTGGAACATCACGACTTCGCGTTAATCTACTGGTAATATATGACTAAACTACGGATATTTATGCGAGTATAGACTGTTATGGATTAATTTGGAGGTAATATAATCAAACAGGAAGTTATATTCTATTGTATCGGCGCCAAAGTTTCGCTAGATCTTCTACAGATAATTTGTTCGAATCATGTCAATATACAATTCTACTGGTGAACGATAATTACTCCTCTCGATGAGTACTATAAGACCCTAAAGTCTTAGACCCTTTTCTTAGACCCTTTTCGAACACCCTGTATAAGATTCGTATCATCTACCGATGACTCCTTCCTCACCACGTAAATAGGCTCTCGGTGCATGTAATCTTCCCAGCTGGACCGAAACTTCTGAAGAAGTCCGATCAGATAGGTCTTCGAGAATGGTACCTCTACCTTCACCTCCTTCTGGGTCATATTCTGAACAAGATTCGCCAACTGGTGAACGTCGTTGATCACAGTCATCAAGTACGACCGATACGTGTTCACCGGTTTCCACCAAACCGCCGTCAAAGACATGTATAAGTCCGTGTAGGCGTTGAATTTCTCGGGATCATGGGCACAGAAGAACATCTCCAAGTTCGCGCACTCTTGGTGGCTGAGGCCAGTTCCGGAGCTCGAGCACCATTTAGTCAGTCGTGGACAAGAGACGTCGGTTTCGTCGACCAGCCCATTGACGGTTAATTTATCCTTATTGGGATCGGTTAACCCGTTCGCCAGCGTGGCCAGGACGAATGGTAGCTTATTGTACAAAACTGCAATTGGACCAGTGCCCCCGAATCCCAACAGGGATAACCAGTTGATCCGAACAACCGAGTTGGTCCACGTCGATGCTGAAAAACAACGGATGAACTTTATGAGAGGAAAGGATAATGTAGGAACAGATGCTTCGTTTTGTTTGAAATAAAAGTATCTACATATCTGGACTCTAGAGCCAGAGTTTGTTAAATCACACTTTTCAAACTTTAGAGGAAAACAAATCGACAGTGCAAGAACCTTGTAATTTTTTTAAACCGTTGTGTAAGAATTCAAGGAGAAACAATCGCTACTTTGGAACTAAATGGACTTAAGACAAGTCTCGATGTGTAGAAATGGTGATCATTGCATTGAGTCCTCTATATAATGAACTTTACATGGTTTGGCTCGGAACAAGATATTGACTTAATGTCATTTCTATACTATTATATTGAAAACTAAACGACTTAGAACGAAATATTGTTTATCATTCGAAAAATTGAGAAATTTTATGAGGGAAACATGTAAAATATAATTTTTTTTTAAAGTGAACTTAATACACTCTGTGTCTGGAGTCCAGATATAATATAATTAAAATTGTTTTCTACCCTATCGCAATTTTAAAAATATTTTTCCGCCCAGTTGCGTAGGACACCCCGTAGATTTCTGATAGCTCCACGATACTTACTATCACGTAGAATATCAGTCACGAGGTTCACGGCTTTGTGAACAAAATAGGAGACGAACTTCGACGTAACCAGAATACGATCGTCAATGAAAACGTCCGACTTCCAGACGTCGCTGGCCCGAAAATCACTGTGGAATGCCGCCACAGTCTTATCGAGCTCCATATCCATGTAGTCGAGAACACCTCTAAATTACAAAATCAACGTTTTAATTATGCCGCCTGTGCAGTAAACTGCTTGAATATCAAATAAATTCTTACTGATCTTTCTAGAGGAAAGTGTAAAATTCTTAAAAATTTGTTTATTTAGTTATTTATCAATTCAAACAACAAGCCATTAAATTTTCATTCAAACAGTTTTTTGATACCCACTGTATTTTTCAGGAAAATATGAGAACACAGAATTAAACGCTAAATGTATTGCATACAATAGAATAATTGTACAGTAAATTTATACACTTAAAGTATCCGTACCTCGTGTCATTTTCTGTACTCTGCCACCTCTCCTCGAACAAGGTCTTAACTTCCAAATATTTGCCCGCCATACGAGACTTCCAGTCTGCCCAGATAGTCGATCTATTCGACAGATATTGTTCCGTTTCGTTTATAAAATTCTCGAACTTCCCCGTCACTCGACGGAACGCCTTGTAGCCGAGGGTCCAATTAACGGCCGGTGGATGGACCTTTTCGTCGTTCTCGAACTGGATACACAACCCGCTTCCTTCAGACGACGCAACACCTCGGTAACAACCGAGAAAAATAAGGGACCACTTACCAACTGTCGCGCAGCCTTCAACAACGGATGCTCTTTCCATTCCTGGATGAAGGCAGCTGGATCGCAGGATATTCTCTCGATCGTGTGCACAATCTGTTGGCTGCCCAGTCGCAACTCCATCGCGGAACCGACGCTCTCCGATCGCACGCAGGGCCATTCTTCTTCACGAGACTTGTAATCGTCCAGGGCGAATATCTAACGAAAAAACACGATGACAACGGGAGGAAGGAATGGAGAACTTGATTTTAGTTAGCTAAAAGTGTGTGCAGGGTATAAAAAAAAATTATTGATCATGGCTGCAGGTGGTGAATTTACATACCTGGATCGATGGACGTTTGTAAAAAAAAAAGACTTACCGCAAAATTGTTTGTAACGTTGAGAATTAATGTTAAATTTTTGTTTTACGTCAGCGTGTTTTATTTGTCGAGAAAATGTAAAACTAAAATGTAACATGAATTTAGCATTTATTATCTTTCGCGAAATAATTTTTATCTACAAATGCCCACTGATCCAAGTGTGTAGATTCACCACCTGAAGCCATGACCATTAACTATTTTACACCCTGTACACTGGATAACAAAAGTATTCGCACGACATGATCCAAAGTGCACGATGTCGTGAAAGTTGTCCGTGTCTACTGTAAGATCCTAAGAAAATGTAATACGTACAAGATGAACTGGTTTCATGGTAATAATGTCGACCACGTCGAGGATTAGATCGTTCAAATTGTGGAAGATCATGCTGAAGAGAACGTACGTCACAGGCATGCCCGGTAACACGTCGAAAGGAACCGCACTCTGATTGTTCTTTTTCGTTTCATCGAGTATCTTCTCGATCATGTCGGACACCACCGAGGACCCCCAGCCGATCGCGTGCAAGTTCTTCCAGCCGGTTTTCTCCTGGATGTTGAACAGAGGGCTCTCCATCAGGCTGAAGAACTTGCAGATCAGACCTACGCTGCAGAAAGACGTAACTTGTCACCCAAACACGCATCTGTTATTGAATAAGCTAAAAAGTTTTTTTTTTTTTAGTTTATTTTTTACCACAGCGATTTCATTACAATCGACTGTATTTCGCTTGTTTTTGTCCATTGCATGGTTATCAAGTAACATTATTACAATACTAACAATATTATAAAAATATTAAAGGAAAATTACAGAATTTATCTACCAAAAAATATTTACACGTGAATTCTAATGGCGAAAGTATCTTTAGAAAATAAATTAGATAGTTAAGAGAAAGATGGTGGAATGTTGTACAATTGCAAACATTATATATACGGGATGGTAAATAAATGTGTGTAACACTTTAGGTGCTGATAGTACTGAAGTAATCTAAACAATGTATAATCCACTTTGCATGTAATCAAGTTAAACGAAACACCCCATATATATATATAATTTATCAATTAGTATTATATATATTTTTTTGTTAAAAAACGATGAAACATTGGCACTCAGCTCATGTAAGATATAAAATGATCATCAATTTTTCATCTTACGCACAAAATTCAGTGATCCAAATGTACAAATCATTTTTAAAGCTCTGACTAAATCATCCAGACCAAAATTGTCCTTAGTATTCACTAACCTGATCTCAAAACCATCCCTGACAGAAAGATCAGCCGTCCAAGAGACTACGAAGTCCCTCTTCAATTTATCTAGTTTAGCCAAATGGTCGTCTGGATCCTTCTGATGGATCAAGGTATCGATGTAACGATAAATCTCGATCGTGCGCGCGTTGAAATCGGTCCAGTTGAAGTCAGCCTCGGAAGGTGGTAACCGATCCTTGATCGCCTCCATGTTTAACTCTAAATCCGTTTGTACGGCGCTCGAGAGGCGGCAGACGAGAGCTTTCAGCGCCGTTTCGTTCGAGCCTTTTGGAAAACTTAGTAAACGCGGCGGACTCTGGTCCATGCAGTACGACTTGGTGAAATTATCGTACTCCAAAATCTTCAAAACCTACGAATAACAACGTTCCTCCTGTCACATTTACTATCATCACACCACACTCATGATTAGTCATGGATCCAAGACTAGACGAGTCCAAACATATTTGAAAAAACGTTGTCCCAAACGTGTCCAAACCTTGACAGTCCAGAGTTTAGTCATGACGAGATGACCAAACTCAAGGTCGTGACCAAACTCTGACCAAACTTTTTAAACAGTTCAAACATTCCACATGACTCGAGTCAGTCAAGCGACTTAGGGTGGTCTTTGCGACTAGTGGGCAAAGAGTGTATCAATAAACAATTGTGAAATCTGCGATACTTCAAATCACGTGGTCAACTCGAGCTGCTTGAAACATTTGAACTATTTGAAATATTTCAAATGTTTGAGAAATGTTTGAAATGTTTACAATGCTTGAACTGTATAAACTCTTTCAACTGTTTCAACTGCTTAAACTGCTTGAACTGTTTGATCATGTCCTTGTGTTTGGTCACCACACCACGATCAAACACAGTCCAAACTTCTCATCAGCAGTCCAAAACATTATTGAACAGTTTACAGACTTATCACTAGTCACGATACTCTTACTGTTATTGCGTCCAAAATGCGTTCTGGAAAAGATATTAACATTCCTAGCTGGAAAAACAATATGTTTGTCGATTGTTCACCGACCTTATCTCTGTCCGTCGCTGTCAAATAGAACACCTCAATCAGTTCCGATTTTCGTCGCCTGACTTCCTCCACCCAACTGCTCGGGCTCTGTCGCAGATCCTTCACTATCACCTCCGCAAGCAAATCTATGCTCTTCAGGTTTGGCTTGATAAAGTTGTAGGACAAACCGCAGCAACCAGTCATTTTCGCTATGCTCAGATGGATTCCAAGACTGCAATAGTACGAAAATCGACGTTTCTGTTTACCGACACTCTACTGATACAGCCGACGATAATGATATATCTGCTTCTATCACTACAATACCAATAAGTAAGTCTCTTATATTTTTCATCGGGTTTACCAATAAATAATTCACTTACAGTATAGTTAATACTGCAAAATAACACACTACAGTTCTACTATGATGGCAATAAATCTTAGATTCGAACGAAACGATTTCACAGAAAAAATAGCGGACCACTTATTGGTACACCTAATGGGTGAAATGTCAAGATCTATGCATAACGTGTAGTCCAAAGTACTCGCATGTTCAGTCTGCCTTGAGGTCTAGTGTCCTCGTATACTTCGGTCCACTTCTGGGTGAATTTGAACACCGACCAATCAGGATCCGGCCTCTTGGGTGAAGTCAGATACGAAACGAGTCCCCTTATGCTGCTAACGACCGCTGTTAAATTAGCTTTCTCGACTTGCACGGTTTGTTTGAACACCATGCTAATAGCAGCCATCAAAGTGTCCAGCGTCTATCAAAGACAGTCGATTGTTACTGAGTTAATGCACCCGTCGGTCACCGATGATCGACGCAACGAAACGAAAGAAGTGATACCATGGTATTTAGAAATCAAAATAACTTTACGTAAAAATAACTACACGTAATCAACGTATTAAACGTAATGATTTGTTCGGATAGTTCGTAGCGTTTTTAAGGGCAGCATTACAATTTATACTTTTCAATCTACATCATACACTTATTTACAGCTATTCTTACAATTTCTTCTCATTTTTCATTTAATTCCTTTGTAACTTCGATTGTATTTGCTAAATAAATTCTTGAACCTATTTCTAGATGGACTTTATTTTCGAAGCTTTTGCCTAAAATATTCTAGCAATCTGAAAAAATAATCATCTGACAAGGCAAAATCTAACTAATTGAATAGGTAAATACTATAAAATTTTTCATACGAAATAGTGCAATTTTTTCACGAATTTGATTGAACGTAATGAAAATGGACTTAGGGCTTGTTTACACGTTCCATCGGTATTTCTCACAAAAGAAATCACTGTTGACTTATACAGCAAATGCATTCAGTACATACCCAGAAAATATAGTATCTATTCATCAGTTGAAACAACTTTTCCTTCGTCCAGTATAAAGATAACAAAGACATTCTGCTCGAAACGCTACGAACCTTCCGAACGACCCAACATTTACGTAAACGGATCCATCGACGGTATAATGAAATACATACGTTGTTCTCGAAACTATTGAGCTCCATACTCCCGTACATCTCAGAAATGAACTTCTTCCCCGAATCGCTGCAAAGTATTTCCGTGGCGTACTTGGATTCGTGCCCGATGTCCTTGAAGTGCTCGAACATTTCGTCCAGAGTGTCGTTCTGGCAGAAGTAGTCCTCGGGATTGGTCTTCTTTACTTCCGTCACGAATCTCTGAAAGACCCGCGAAGATTGTCTAAACATTCTTGTAATAAATAGAAATAGACCGAAGAGAAAACAGTCACGTTAGAATGGAAGTGTTATTAACCTCCACGAAATCCAATCTGGAGAACGTGCGTACGAATGTTCGATAAGCACTTGGGTCCATATGCGTGAGCAATTGTTGCACGGTGTCTCTGTTGTTCAGAGAAATATTGTAGAATCTGTGCTCCAAGTCCTCGTGAATGATCGCCGCGTGATGGACCATTCTGACTATACTCTGAGTGAAGGCGAACACGTAAGTCAACGAGGCGAGAATGTTCTCCGAGAAGAAATTTCTGAGTCCGTCCCAGACTTCGGTCGAACTGTAAATATAACAAAACCACCATGTATAGTGATATTAGTAATTGATTCGTTTATTACGAAAGTTGTGTATGTTTCATTTCGGGAAAATCGAGAATACTGTTGCAACGCTTAGAAATGATTATTGATAAATTACGAACGAATAGGAGAAAGTGGTGCCAGTAGAATGGTTCAAATTGGCAAATCATTGAGGATGTAAAATATTTGGGCGGTAGGAATTTTCTAGGGGGAGAGTAAATTATTAAATTTAATTAAATATGAAAATAAAAGCGTATGGTTCGGATTCATTCCATTAAATGTTCAAAATGGTGCGTCCATTCATTTCCAAACATTTAATTAATCCTTTTACGACATAATGCCACACATCTGACAACGTTCTTGGAATTATCGATTTACAAGCACTTTGTATTCTTCTCGACGTGTCTTCTTTCGTTATATTATAGTGCTTTACAGAGCCCCAAAACATTCTTTTGTGTACTATGTAAGCACCTTTTTTCGCTATTTTTAAATATTCAATAAAATGAATTTGAATCGTATACATTTATTTCAATATCTTAAGTTGGACGACTACTATCTAAATAACGAACAATCAATACGCCGTTCCATTTAAAAAAAAATAAGAGGGACCGTTTCTCCTTCAGGAGATTCCCTCCCGTCAAAATATTTTACACCTTAAAAATATAAGTATTATTAAAATATAATTCACGTGGATATAACGTCGATATAAATAACTCGTAACACTTTATATGGTACACCCTGAAGTAACACTTTATTTAACACTAGAACTACCGACGATAAACGTGTATGGATTTCTATCAGATCGATAAACATGACAAATTGTTGAAAATCTACATGTTTATAAATCAACCCATTTCTTCACTAACATATTCCAATAAAAGTTGCAAAAGATCTAAGAAAACACATTGTTTGGAATATTTTAGTTATCGTTATAAGAGCATACTAACCAGTCATTTTGACTGTTTTGGTAGTTCTAGTGTCAATGTTAGATTTTTCACATTAATCCACAGAAACGCAAATTTCCATAAACATCTATATGTTGAATATTTGTATTTTATTTTGTAGAAATAAGCTTACAGCTCAAGCTCGTCCTTGTGACGGTCCAATATTCTTGCGCTGAGTCGCGCGCAGCTCTGTAAAATGGCGAAACCGAGATCCAAAGCTTGAGTTAGATTCTCTATATTCCCCGTGATAAAAGGTGCAAATTGAGCCTCGTTCGTGAGTCGTTCTATCAACGTGAAAAAATCGCTCGAAGAACCATCGTTCCGATCTTCCGTCATCCCTTTCACGAACTCCAACATTTTCTGCAGTCTCAGAAACGCCTGACGGGCGATGGACCAGTCCTTTTCCGTGGAGAACACCGGGTCCAGAACGTTCAAGGTCTTGTTCACGCTGAGGAAACATTCGAAAAGATTCTTAATACCATTACAGTCTACTAACTTCAATATTTCCAGCTCCATTATTGTACAAAGGTTCGTCAAAAAATTAGCATTAGAACTCGGGACCTTCCATCGTTAGTGGAAATTACTTTAATACAACGTAACTAAATTCTTCTTTCATTGACGCTATTAACTAAATATTTCTTTGTTATGGGCCAATGAAATTAATGGTCGACCTTTATCCGAAACAAGCGTTCACATTCATTCTTCATAAATAAAATAGGAGACCAGTAAATTACGTGACGGTGAACAATCGTAGACGTAAAATGTTTACACACAAAATGATCCTGAAGAAAATGGCTACTCACAAGGTGAGATCGATCTCCTTGAACGTGACGTTCTTGAAGACCATTATTATTTTCGGCATCCATTCGCGGATCCTCAGATACACAGGTATGTATTTTCTCGAGGTCTCCAGATCGAGGATCGTTTCCGCGGCTCGTCTCAAATCCACGAAGAAATCGTAGCCCCGAAACTTGGCCATCACGCGATCCACCATCTCCAGCAAGCCGGTGAAATCGAGATGCTTGGACAGATTCTCGAGGATGCCGAGCATCGTTTCCGAGTCGATGTCGCAGAGAATCTTCGAAAGATCTTCGAAGTCCTCCTCCCTCGGTAGGATCAGGTACTTCCTCAAGCTCTCCGGGGAACAAATCACTCCGTCGATGTTCGACGATCCGAATGCTTCGATCAGCTGGAGGTCGTGGACGAAATATTGGAAATTATTACTAGGCGCACCGATGTATACTCCACTATTTTTGTTTTATCAATGTTTTTGTTTTATCGAAGCCAATGTTTTATTTTTGATTATAGAAATTTGTTAATTAATTTAACACAAATAGCTTATATATCTTATAATCTAGCGACAGGCTAATATATTTTCTTAATTCGTTGTTAATTCAAGCCTAATTTAATTCTAGAAATATTAATGCGATAGTATATTAAACAGTGCACGAGAATTAATGATTATTTTTTAAGGAATTAGAATTTGTTATACGGAAGAATCTATTATACGGTGCAATTCTCATGAAAGTCATATCAAACGATTCGAAAAATTTCAGTCAAAAATGTAAAAGAATTCGAGTTTCCTCGGACCGGTGCTATGATACTGACGTATAATAATTTTACGGAGGACTCGAACAATTCATCGATCAATCCGTCACGGGCGTTCGGCATGTGCTCACGTAGAGTTCTCTTGATTTCCTCGTGGTTGTTGAAGAGATCACCCAATCGTATACCGCGATCTAGACATGGATAATAAATTCGCACGGTTATCGAGTGGTAAACACTGGATTCGAATTCAGGATAGTAAAACAAAGCCGCGTCGTGGTGTTCATACCGAAAAGTGCCTTGATTTCCGGTTTGGTGAGTATCTGCGCCATTGATTTCAGGAGCTGAATACTGTGCGGTAGCGTCTTCACCGCGGAAAGTATCGTCTGGTTGTTGAGCATCGGTTGCAGTTCCGTAACTAGCGGGCCTAGACTATTCGTAATTGTACAAACATAATATATCGAACAGAAATTGAAAATTCATTAACGATATTTTTATAATTCTCAACAATCGACACTGTTGCTCAAAAGTTTGAACTATAAAATACTAAACTTGTTCATGAAGATATTTTTTACATTCCATATCGTTAGTAAAAATATACTGGTTTCTCTAACATCGTTCAACATTTTCATAAAAGACAGTTCATAGAAATGAAAATTTACTTGTATGAATATTTTGATATAAAAAAATTATGATCAGGTACCCAGACTTTATACCCAACGATTATTTCGTTAATTATTTATTCCTAAAGAAACATGAAAGTACAGGGAGTTAATATGAATTTAAATTACGTCTCAAGATTATTAAAAAGTAGAAATTATTTATCGGTACATAGAGGTAGCCGGGGAGGAGGGCAGAGAGGGTCATTTGCCACCCCCCCCCCCTCTAGAAGAAAAAATATTATATTACATTAATTAATAGTGTATATGTAAAAATAAATCTAAAATCCATTTCAAATAATATTCTTAAATTTACCTTAAAATAAATTTTGTCTCCCACCCCCTTCCCCCAAGTGATAACCTGGCTACGCCTATGTATCGTTACTAATCATTAGACCTAATAAGAAGCGAAAGGAACTGCAAACTTTTGGGCGACACTGTACATTCTTCTATTTACAGTCGGAATTGATATGAAATCGCGTGTACGGTTTACAGTGCAAAAACTAAAATCCCGTGGTAAAATGGTATGTATTTCCCGAACTAACGTGGCATTCCTATAAGAAGGAACTTCTTCGTATTCCGTGAGGGGGTCGCAGGGATTTCCGAGGCTGCAAATGAAACTCTGCACGAATGGAAGCAGCCCGTTCTGCGGCATCGACCTCGCAGGAAATTGGCACGTCGGATAGTACTTCGGGTCCACGTTGTCGCGGATCGTGTAGAGGATCATGAACACGGTCACCGGCCACACGAACACCAGGGCCAATATCCCCTAAACATTGAAATTTGTGGACGTGCTTTTAGCCAAGCTTCCTGGGTTATGACGGGGCTCGACTAGGCGAGAGAAAAATATCACAGCTCGCAGGGAGAATAGTTACCGGTTGGCGTTTCCGAACGATGTAGTTCTTCCATAGCAGCAGCCCGATCTGGTCGACCCTCATCTTCGGGAGTGTTATTTAGATCTGAAATATTAGTCGCAAAGATCGTTGGAAAATAATTATTCCAGAACTACACAAGAAATCTCTTAATACTACTCTAGAAATTATAGTTTAGACGACTGTTTAGTAGTACTGTAAAAAGAGATACAGAGTAGATACTAGAGGATAGAGATGGCTTGAAGAGATCAAGGAGTCATTGACAGACGAAGGGACAAAGATGGCCAAAGAGGCAAGGGCAGGAGGCGAAAGATGGCCAAGGGATTGAAAGTGGCCAAAATAGTCAAAATGGTAAAAATGGTAAAAATGGTAAAAATGGCCAAAATGGTAAAAATGGTAAAAATGGTAAAAATGGCCAAAATGGCCAAAATGATAAATAATGACCAGAAGGGTGAAAATTACCAAAATGGTGGAGTGAGGTGACCAAAGATGCCCAAAGGATTTTCCGTCAAACTTTCAGATGAGACGAAGAATATAAATTTTTACATGCACAACTCTACTATACAATTCTCAGGAAAACAAATATTACACTTTACGCATGCACGAGATCGACTAATGGATCTATTGATGCAGTGGTGTCATCGATCCATAAAGGTACAATGAAGAACAAGTTGAGAGAATTCTATTCAACTATTGAAATTGTAACGATCACCATTTTTTATTAAATGAATATTCAGTTACTTATAATAAGAGTAGATTTATAGTTGAAAGTTGTCTGCTACAACATGTTACTAATCATTATTACACGAACCCAAAACATAAAGTAGTTTCTATCAGACGATCATAATCCTTCTCTAGAACTGTAACTTCTATTCTGTAAATGTTAATGCTTTAAACCTTGACAACTACGTATATTATTATCTGAACAGTAATTTAATGTCTTTTTTCTCTATTATTTAAATACGATTATTATGATAAAAACATTTATCTCTTACGTTCTAATCCTCTAATAATCTTGTCTCTTACACTGTACACAGCGATATCAATAATAATCCGTCCATTTCACCGCACACGTCAATTTCTCCTTTTTTTCCAGACTCGGACGATCAATTTTCCACCGTCTTTCGAAACCACACAAAGAAGAAATCCCGTGGCGATGCCACTGGACGAACTAGTCGTGATCCATGATACAGAATCGAACGACGAAACCGTACGGTTCGATGCACCGCAGAGGGCAGAACAAATATTTGCGGAACGTAACAAGCGTGTTTGTCGATACACCGGCCACCGGAAATGCGCTTCACTCTGTCGCGTGTTCTGCCAGGATCTATTGCGGAAAAAACAGAACAATGAAACGAGCGGATTGTTTTCGCGGACGAACAAAATCGATCCACTGATGCTGGACAATACAATCTCAGTGAGTAGATTCTGTGTCTATATGGACTTACAGCGTATGTATAAATCCTCGAAACAATCTATTTCACTTCAATTTCTCGAAGTTTCTCTATAAAATATAAATTTACGTAAAAATTGACAGTTTATACAAGAGTATCACGACTATTTTCGGAGGAATCATCTTCTATGATTTTCGACGTTAATTTTTGAATATAGTACGAAAACATCGAACTTACTTTACAATTTTTGAAATCATTAAGATGCTTTCGTTGGAATATAGGTACGTTGACTTTTGATTTATTATACATTTGACATTATACTATATTGTGTTATATTATATTATCAACGTGGTATTGTACCAATCAATGTATTATTCTATTTATTTTAGTGTACATTCAACGATGGTAGTCCTGGTTTAAAAAAAAAGTCATGTTTCTTCATTTGATTAATGAAATTCGCAGTGTATTTGTCGCAAATTTACCTCTTGCACATATCGTGCACATCTTCAAATTGTCACCGAAAAGAGTGTTCGATATGTTTAAACATTTTCTGCATTACGTTCCCTTTTATCATTGAGAATTCATTCTACGTATTTGATCACGATTTCCAATAAGTATATTAGTCGAAATGAAGGTAAAAGCCAATCTGATGCTTAGCAACAGAACGTACATACATCGAAAATAAATTGAACAAATGCGATGAAACAAACATAAAATAATTTCTTTCGTTGTTATACAAAGCTTCTATAATTTATCCACCGACGATCATTTATTAAACAGATAACGTTGTCCACGCGGATAAATCATTTATCGCATATTTTGCAAGCAACCTCGCAACGGCTCGGCAAAAAACGCCGCGGACTGATTTATTTATCAATTTTCTCCGGACGTCGCTCTTTCGCCTCGCGTTTTGTTTCAATTATGAAATTAAAGCACGGATCGTACAGTGCTCCATCGATTCCTCCTACTCTTTTCCGCGCTCTCGATTGGTTTCTCGATTTCCCGGCGTGCCGCTTGAATTATGAAATTAAAATACCCGGCGAAGGTCGGTCAGGATTATTAATTGCTCTGTTTTGGATCTTGAAACGAAAAACTGGCTCAACGACGAGGTGCTGTTTTTAAAAACTTGACCCTTTTCTCGCCCTTTTTGTTGGACAGACCAGATGAAACCGATTTCACGAGATTTTGTGACACCCGAGTCTCGGAAATTGAGAAGAGCTCGCAAAAATATTTGGCCATGTGTACAATAAAAAAAATTTTAGACGAAATTACAAGTTTGGCAATTAAATTTCGTATCTATTCAACGATGGTAGTTTTAAGTGTGAAATAAGCATTTATTGAGTTAGTAATATATTTCAATTTCTGTTTCTCTACCTCGTCTTTTACACTTGTAGTTACTACATTATGTAATAAAATGTACTTCCTTAATTACTAAACCGCGAATGGTTTCGCAAAGTCATAATTTTAGAAGCTAATTCAAAGAATGGAAGTTATACAAGACTATATTTCTGGCATTATAAATTTTGTAGCAATAGTCGATTTATCAGGAATCGATTTATATAAAATCGGGACAATAATAAATGCGAATAAAAAAACTACGAAGTATGTATTTCATGTATGGTAAGAAGAATCAGCATAAAAGGTTACTTCAGCAAACATGTGTTTAAGTATAACTTCTCATTATTGTACCTTGTGTGTTTGCCATCGCAGCACGCTATTACGACTTCTTAGATCTGTTATTAACATAGATGTTACGTATAGTTTTAATAGATTCGCCAATATCATCATCGCAAAAGAAGGTTTCAATACCTCACTAAGTAAATAACAGCTGCATGATAAGCAAAGAAGATCAGTTGCAATACAAACGATACTTATGCAACAATAGAATATAAATCTCTTATTAACCTATAGTTTTGACACATTTATTCTTCTCAAATTTCATTCTCACCAAAGAAGTTTTAAGTATCCTTTTCCTACCAATACATTAAATATCAGTTGCATATAAATAAAAAAGATCAATTGCAATGAAAATGGTATTTCTACATCAATATAATACAATTAACACTAGAACTACCGACGATAAACATTCATCTATTTCTATCGGATCGATAAACACGTAAAACACCTTTGAAACCATGCAAATTCATAAATTAACTAATCTCTTCACTTTCATATTGCTATATAACTGACGACAGATCTCAGACAATGCATCGTTGTAACATTTTAATAATCGTTACAAAAAAGTACTAACGTGTCATTTTGATTGCTTTGATAATTCTAGCATTACCACCGACATACAAAAATATGAATTTCAATTTGGCACGATCTAACATTCGTTGCATAACGGATAAAAAACAGAGTTCCATGGACCGTTTCAGAAGGGACATTTTGTCCCGATCCGCGACCATTCGAAACGGTCCCGCGGTTCGCCGTTCGGCCTCGAAATCGACGCTCGAACGCAACCGCGCACACACACCAGCGTGCCAGCTCGTTTCGCATACCCGTCATTATTCGGGTTCAAGATTACGAAGATGCGAAATAATTATTGATTTGGAAATACCATCTCGGCACTGTCATTTCGCGTAATCGCCGGTATCGTGGATCCGTTTGCGAAATCCTTGGCTACTTCTCGATCGCGACCAACGCAGGACAACGAATAGAGAAAAAAAAAAAAAAGACACATTTCAGAGGAAACGAATATCGCGACTGAGTCTTTCAGAAAAAAATAAGAAGGATCGACAAGGTACCAATGACTAACGTGGAAGCTATTCTTGCGACGGAAAAAATTCTTTGTTGAACTTTGAACCCGATGAAAGAATATCCTGTTGTGTATATCCTGGAGGTGTTTGATGCACGTAGAAACATTGAACGTTATGTTTACGTTGAAAATCATCAGTAACCCTGAAACTTCACACTTATAGTAGATAAGTGTTCGAATACAGTATATTGCCGATATAAGAATGCTACTATTTTTTAATAAATAAAACTATCATTTTGTGCTGTCTTTTGCTCATCTGAATAGCTTCATTTGGTTAATTTCTATCGTTAATTTTTCTTTAGGACTCGTATTCGCAATCTTTTGCACTGTTAAACTCATTCTAATCAAAGTCCTACATCGTCCTACTGTAATAATTGTATTATGTATAAATTGTGACTACAATTATTTATTACAAATTGCAGAATAATATTTAATATAATGGTTATTCTTATTATTTATAATTTATAATGATATATTTGATATCGGTATTGCTAAAATTAAACGTTGGGGCCCTTATTTCTGCATTCATCCGATACCATGGAAATACGCTATGATGTGTGTACTTCAGGTGGTGATTACGCGATCTGATTATAATTTAATTACTGTTAACGTAACTTATCGATTTTCACGCTAGGAGAAAACTTCGATGAAAAACGTGATCCAATATGTTTGTATTTATTGACACATCGCGTATACTTTCACGTTACGATGACCACGATTCTGCTTGAATAAATTATCCAACCGAATAATCCTGACGTTCGATGATTACCAGATTTTGTTAATTATATACCGAATATTCATTGAATATTCGCATTAACAGGAATGGTTCTTGATTTGATTTGATTTTCTGTATTCAACTGTGTTCAATAAATATTCATATAATTCGTTTTCTTTAAGTCAAAGTGAAATACTGTTTCACTGGTATTAACATATAAGATTTAGAGTGAATGTTACAGTCGCCATAAGACTAGAATTCTTTTTGTATCTAGGAAATTATTAACGAAAAAATAATTCTTGATTGTGCAGTCGTCGAAAAAATCGTCAGGCAAAGGGTTGGAAAATAACCATTCAAGGCTAACTATATCAACTATCTATCGAACAGCAAAACAGAAAAAATAACCAGTTCATAGTAAGAAAAGGATAAAAAATTAATTAAATCTTTCGTTTCCCCAAAAATTAGATAAATAATTCCGTGTACATACTCGAGTATTGCCTAGCTTTCCTCTAAACAAAGATTAAAGAAATGACCGTCCACGTTTAACTGTTTCCAACGTTTCCTAATAATAATCGAGGACATTCCACCGACTATTGTACAATCCTCGAGGCACAATAATTCCAAACACCAGAGCTGGCCAAACGAAATTCAAACCGCCTCTCCCACTTCCGCATTTTACTGGATAACCGCAGCCTCCTTCTCGTCGAAACACAATTCTCGCTCGACCATTCATAAACGAACGGCAAAAACTGAAACGGAGATCAATCTTTGCCGAACAAGGAAAACCTGGAATCCACGTCGAATCAACATTATTCAACGTCAACGTCGTTCGCGCGATCAATCGCGTCTCATTCCGCCGCCGCGGACGATCCGCAATTTGCTTGATGGAAAGCGAAATCGAAAACACCGAACCGACCTACGGCTATCGGGATCGCGTGACAAATAGAAAATCTTACGATCGATTCTAGATCAAACTGCCTCCTGGTATCAAAACAGTTTTTATCGGCGTGAGAGATTCATCGAGAACGCTGCTCAAAGTCTACTAGTCGTGAGATGAGACAAGAAATAACTGTAATTAATGCCCCTCCCTTCTGCGTTACTGTAGAATGATTGTCTGTGTTGAATCTAGTAGTATCCTTGTACGATGATTTGGTGACAAACTCGTTCAACACTAAAACTATCGAACCCGTTAAAATGACAGATTTTAAATTTTTTATTTTACAATTACCGAAATCCTAAAGATACTTTTATCGAAGTTTATGTTGACCTTTAATTCTTTACACACTTTATATTATACTGTACTAAGCTGTATTGTATTATACAATACACATATTAATAAATTACACAATTTAACTTAGCATAAATTTAATGCTGGTAGTTCTAGTGTCAACAAGGAATATGAAACCAACAATGGAATCTTGTCAATGTAGTCACCGAAGTAAATAGACATCTCTTTAAATGACTATTAAATAAAAATAAAATATTCTAAAAATATTCATAGTATTTCTCATACACCACTTGACCAGTTAAGGGTTAAATAGAAAAACCAATAGCCAAATAAATAGAAGAAAGTAAAACTCCACTGAAAAATTAACCCAAGAAAATATACCAATGTTCCATTCAACGAGCTAATGAGCAAAGAATATTCCGCATTGTCCAACGATAACGCATACGAATAAATCGATTCATCCAAGTCTTACGTTCTCACGAGATCACCTTGTAAAATAAAAAAACCTTAAAGCGCCGACTACGGAGTAAACAATAGATCCTCGCCGTGTTTAGAGGTTCGGAGTAGCTAACGACGACCCTTTTTCGCCCCATCGGCCGATGACATGGAAGCAATCAGCATCGACACAGCTTTTCTCGGAAGTCGAAACAGATTGCAGGGGATCCGCAGCTGGTCGAGCAAGTTTCCCGATGCCCCATCGCCTGCCGTGGCCCTTGCCGATAGACACAGAGACGAGAGAAGGAAGAAGAAGAAGAAGAAGAAGAAGCAAGAAAAAAAAAAGGAGAATCCTCGAGAGCGCAGCGACGCCGTGGCGAACGCTCCCTCTTTCTCTACGAGCACCGTGTTCCTCCTGTTCTCCAAAAAGACGAACAGTGGGGGGCTCTCGTTCATGCCGCGGAGTGCCGAGGGAAGAGGAACGAGCGGAATCGAATTTTCTAAACGTCGACAACATCGTCGTTCCACGAGAAACTCGCGCTTTATGCATACCCAATGGCACAGAGAAGCCAGCCACGATTGAATTGCAAGCAGGACGATACAAGAACGGAATAATATCCACGGGTGAAGATATTCCGTCGATGGTGCGCCAGACGAACTGCCCGCATTGAAAAATCGTTCCCGCTTCGACGATTTTAACTCCCGACGCGCTGCGGTTAACCCTTTGACCGGTTATGTCGTGTACAGAGTCTTAATAAATGTGTGGACCACTTTCACAGACTGGATTCTAGATGCCAAACTGACATGGTAGTCAAGAACGACGAAATTGCGTTCGAGGCTTTGTTTCCATGTTATTAATTGGTGAAGATATAGGCAAAATACGCGTGAAATACCTTACTGTGCACAAATCAAATTGTTTATTCTCCTGTAAGAAAGCATCGAAATAAATAAGCATCTTTTTAAATGACTATTTAAATGAAATATTCTAAAAATATTCATGGAGCTCCTCGGAACCCACTTAGCCAGTTAAGGGTTAAATAGAAGAATCAAGAGCCAAAAAAATAAGGAAAGCATAGGTCACTGAAAAACGAAGCTGAGAAAGCATATCAATCATCTGGCCCGTTCAATGAGCGTAAAGAACAAAATACGTCTGGCGCGATGAGTTATACTACTGGGACATCCGATTCCCAGCTGATAGATGGGTTCGATCGATGACCTAGTGAAACTGATGAATGAAATAAAATGAAAGAATGAAACCAACTCGTGAAACAGTTGAAAAGCCGCACCTCTCAAGTAGAAAAAACCGTTATTTAGTAGCTGCACGATTTTTTCGATTACAGATTAGAGATGATCACCAGAGAATTGAGGGTAATATTTTATTCTTTTGTATTTACTCTATCATTATTTTCTTTTCATAATTCGTTTTTGTTGACTAAGTAAATTAATTAAAATTTCCTAACTCTTTGATGGAATTTTTCCGCTGCAACTGGACACATTTTTGTTAAGAGACGCAGCGTGAAAACAATTGATACCACTCTTTGAATTTAATTTTCAAATACATACGAAATTCACTAGGTATTTTGAATATAACGCGTGTAACGTTAAATGTACTGTTTAACATATCGGACGTTGTTCAAAATCGTTATTAGTAGTCAGCAAATGTCTATGCAGACATAAATTCTCATGGGCTACTTTGCAAGAACTGGAATTGAAGGATTTGTTTACTTTACTTACTATTCTGCCACATTTCAAATAAAATAAAAACCTCTTCAAACTCATCACTCTTGACTATACTAAATTCTAGAGTATCCTCTATGATACAAATGCATAAAATCCGCAATTAAGTTATTAGTTTTAGGTTTTATTTATATTAACTTTATAAATGATATTTGACATTATATTGTCAGATTAACCGGCTATTACTTTATCCAGTCAGGGGTCTAATCCCATAGGGACCAATTTACAGGGTGTTTACAATACAGAATATTAAATATAAAGAACACATATAAACACTTAAAACAAAACATCATCTATCAAAAAAAAGTTCCTATATCGTGTATTACCGTTTTTCATTATACCTCATTGTGAATACACACAACTGACAACAAGACCCGCGTCCTAACTCTGCTTACAACCACCTTACCCACAGCTACTAATACATTCCTAAACCATAACTAGCTCCACAAATTCCACTAATCATTCTTACAATTACATACAAAAATATCCTCCTCCTTATCACCGTCCACCAAGATTGATCGCTAGACTGCGAATTTTTACGCAGATATCAGTTTTTAAAGATTTATTTACGGAAACTACATAGAAACAATCAGAAATTTCTTTACTGCATCAAAGATTCTATCAACTCTCACGTAAAATGAAAACTCCCCAAAAATTGATCAGAATTCATGCTGTACTGAATTTCCGACACTTAGAAACGCTATAAATTCATAAAATCTGTAGTCTATTGATCACATCGACGTCTAATTACCGACAAACTACACGTCATCCACCAATGCTCCGCTCGAAAGACGATAAACACCGGTCGAGACTCCTAAGATAATCACGATCACTTACGTCGTCTTCGTATAGTCCCGCTCCAGATCGATGAAGATCAGCTTTCGTCTTATAGCCGTGTAACTAAACCCGACACACACACACACACACACAAACACACACACACACCCACATACACACTGTTTGCAAACGTCACTAAAGCTTCATTGAGCCTTCACCAGGTCATAAACTTATGAAACTGCGACCACCAAACCCTGAACGTCCACCACGATTATTAAAGAACGTTAAATCCCATCGATCACCAGCCCAACAATTGCCACTGGTAGATCACTCGAAATTGTCACATTGGTGTTCCAAACTGTCGATGATCCACAACAACAAAAACACCGGTGGTATTATCCCCGTCGATCGTTCGTAATCCTGCCAGATCCTGGGCGAACCGTGCCCTCTCCACGACAGCACACCGGTAAAGGTAACAACACTCTGTAAAATGGGGCCCCCCAGACACCTGGTTTTGTTCCTTTCGGTTCTCCGATCTTCCCTGGTTTTCTTGTTCCCCGTTCACGCGGCCGAGACAGCCACAACACCGGGGTCTCTCACGTTTAATGCACACTTGGAACGACGCGACGACGGTCGGAGGCCGACTGTTGCCCACCACCGTGATCCACGACCACGTGGACCTTAACAATGCCTCAACATCCGCTCGTGAATATGTATTTATAGGCTCTCTCTCGTATATATGTACACACACACACACAAACGGTCGCGCGCGTGTTCCCCGACGATCCGAAATGACCCCCCCCCCTGGATCACCGATAATTCAACGTTTTGTTGCACGCCTTGTTGTTTGGTAATTTTTTTTTTCTTTTTGTTTTGGATGTTGGTCGACCTTCGCCGTGGATCGAAAGCAAAAGTTGTCCCGGCCCGGAGGCAACTCGAGGAGCAGGATCCTCGGAGACCCGTGACTCGGAACAGTGCTAAGGTGACGTGTTTCTGTTTGTTTTAAGATCGTGACTTACGCTGTGGATTTTAGGAAGGGGACAATTCGAAGAATAAACGGGGTTTGCTTGATTATTTGAAATAAAAAGGGACAGAACCTGATGGAACTCACACTTTCTGTTGTTTTATGTGGGAGCAATTAAGTACTGAATCCTGTATTATTGAAACTGCGATTTTTATTTAGTTTTGGAATTAAATACACTGCTGTTCGTCAGTAGTAGGACAGTTGGACCTGATAGAAATGATATATTTTTAGTCCACTCGAATTATTTTGCATTAAATCCTGTAGATAATATTTATTCTAGACCGTCAACAATTTCGTAATGCTTCATTAGATTTATCTCATGTTTGACGAATGTCCTAATACTTATAAACGAGAATGTATTTTGTGACCCTCTTGAATATTGCATTTTTTCAATACTAATTTAACTATTTAGCCATTGAGTGACCTTTGAATGTTGACAGTTACTGAACATATCTTCGAATGGTTACGACACACTAGTACATAAATCGTAGGAGTGTCGTTTATCTTCGAACGTTCCTATAACAACGCTGGATACACAGATTCTGTTTTGCTTCGGCACTGCAATATTATATACAAAATGGACCAATAAAACTCTACTACCTAGAATACCTTTTTAAAATTGTAGAGGCAAGAAAAATATTTTTCGAATACAAGTTATTCAGATTTGTGTCATCATATATGATAGTCCGTTTAATACAAAATCAATTTTATGTAAAAATTTGTTTCTTACCATCATAATTCAGGGGATATTCAAGGTAAAAAGTATGTATATGTACACATATACAGGGTGAAGGATATTGAAAAGATACTCTGAAAATTTTCTACAATTACAGATAGATCGAAAAACTAGATATTTTAATAACGTAACCCGAGAATCCACAAAATTACCGGTCTCCTAGGAAGGATGCTGAATAATGTGCTAGGAAGAGATAAAAAAGGTCGACCTCCTGAGAGAAAAAAACGAGTCGAGACAAGGGTCCACCACGGGGATTCCGTGTAGTCGCTCGAACAATTATTTTTCTATGTAAATTGGAACGTCCCGCCAGGTAGAAATTGCAACCTGACGTATCCTCAAGGTGAAACACAGTTCGAAGAACTCGCGTGTAAATTGCAAATTGCAACGCGTTTAAACGAACGCGTGAATTTTCCATGATTGAAAATTGAAATGAACTTAATCTACATTATCGCTCGATCTAAATTGAAACGTCGTCGTTCGAGCTTAACAATTCTTCCTTTCGAGGACACTCCGACAAATGACTCTGAAGAAAATGCAGTAGAAAATTCTGTAAGTATTGCTGTTTCGTCGTGATTGCGGTTGAATGATTTATTCGATTAACTCTAGATTATTAATTAAGTCCGGAACCGAGGTAATTAGACGTACTTTGCCGATGTATTCCGATGAATCATATTTCTATGCAATGTAAACGTCAACGCTGCTGAACAGCCGATATGTGTATAGCAAGCGCTCGCGGCTTGTCGCCAACAGGTCGATCGACTGACCCGTTGTAACGCCGACATGGTTCACTGAAGACAGTTAATGAGAAACTAGAACCGTTGTTGTTATTAGGCAGTCCAGAAAGTTCCTGCGGTTTTCGTAGCTCGGTAACTACACCGTGTTTCTTAATTGTTTACCTAATCCCTAGACTGCGGTTTTTATGCATGTAAAGGGTTTTCCAATAAGAATGAAATGATTTTGAAATGAAATAGCAACCATGTCTAAAATATTATAACTGTCACTAGTTATCATTTGTGTTTAGTATACTCTGACAATTAATATTTATTATCGCTCACCATAATTATCTTCATACTTCCATGTACGTCCATCCTGTAACTCGTACGCACTTTCCCCATCGTTTCATCGACACGCCAAAGGGACAAAAACTCGAGTTACTGTATCAATTTCCTATAAGAGATTTACAGAATATCCACCCAAGTTCTCTCTACGACCCACGAATCATACAAAAAATTACTACCAATACAAGAATCGCCTCATTACAGTACAAATAAATATCTAAGACATCTTCTAGCTCGTTTTATACCTTATTTTCTCTTCTCAGGCTACCATAGTAACGCGAAGATAAAGTTCAAAGAAGCAAGGAAGCCAAGTTACGCGGTAGGAACAACCACTAAACGTCCTTGGAGAGCAAAAATCTCCGACCCCGATTGTACCGTTTCTTCATCTTCTTGGTGCAACGATCTCCCACGAACCGTTCCCCCTTTCCTCTCACTTTCGTCGCGACTCACGCAGTCACCGTGGCTCCTTATCTCGCCAGGATAACCGATACCAACCACGAGCAACAGGACGAAGGAACACCGCCGCCTGGGCCCGTTGTAACGAGCGTGCGAAACAAGAACTTCTCTCCATTAAACCGCCGCTACGAATGAAAAACCGTGCGAACCAGTTCCAGGAGGTGGTTCAAAGGGACTCTTCTTCTTTGGACAACGGCAGATGGATCGAGCGTTTCCGCCGGGTGAATTTGCGCGCAGATCGGAACGATCGAGACGTCCCACAATTGGTCCATTCCGCGACTCTGATTGGACAGAAATAGAAAAATCGAATTTATCAGAGACACTCGTGGGATTGATTCTTTTTCCTGAAATAGACACACCAAATACCCTGCACTAGAATTACAGGGGAAGTTAGAATAGGGCAGCTAAACATTTTTCCTTTTGTATAGATATAGAACGATGATTCATAATTATTGATACACTCCGCAGTGTCGGCAATTTTCGTGCTCTTGCAGAATCCACAACTTAAGAAGATTGCGACATAATTAGTTAACACTACATCTGGCCTCTCGAACTAATATTAATTCATATATATTATTTGTTTTTTCTATTTTGTTAATGCCTCTGAAAGGGACAAACAAAATAGACTGCTACGTGAGATTAATGAATTAGTTTTCAAGAATCACCCTAGTACACGACAACTGTTCGACCTCATCCAGGTAGGTATATTGGTAAAACTGTGTGAGGTAATTGCCTTTTTTTTTGCTAATAAACGGTTCACCTAAATTCCAATTTTTTACTGCAGACTGTACGTCTTTTAAGAATTTTCTATTACTTTCGACGAATATAGGCATGCGACAACTATTTGCCCTCACTAATCAATTTTTCGATTTTGAAGGAACAGCAACAGTTTTTTTGATATGTTGCTTGCTACTGAATTGTTTCGTTGTGCCGATTGGTCAAAACTTCGAGTGGAAAGCGTTTAACTTTTGAAGAAATTTGGCAACAGTTTTTTTGATATGTTGCTTGCTACTGAATTGTTTCGTTGTGCCGATTGGTCAAAAATTCGAGTGGAAAGCGTTTAACTTTTGAAGAAATTGGAAAAATTCAGGCTTTCGAAGAACTCTAATAAGGAGCTCGCCAGAATAATTAACCGTAGTCCACGTGTAATTAACATGTACTTGGTGAATCCTGAAGGTACTTTGGGTTTCCTATGGCTCTAGATTTTACTTTCTACAGTTTCGTTGCTGTGCCACTGATCCATATGTTGTCCCATAAATTCCTATTAAATCTTTTTAATAAAAGCTTTCGCGTCTAACAAACTGGTTCTATAATTTCCGTCCCACAATGGTAGGTTAGTTGAAAAAATCGCCTATAGATCCTACAAACTGGACTAATATTCCACGTTCCCTTCCATCTCTATAAATCTGTCAGACATAGTCCCGGCTTCGGGTTACCACGGAGGACAAATCTCGAAAGGAACAGCAATCATTTCTGCCTAATGTCTCCCGGATACCAGGCGAAATACACGACTGGAAGCTGTAGTCTGTAGTAAATATTCGTCCGAGAAGCAGTTGGCAGGGCCATAGAAAACGAATGTAGGTCTTTGGATTCTGTTTTTTCGGGTCTATCCCCAACGAAGAAACCCGTGTATTCTCTTCTTCATCGGCCACAGGTGGTAATCTTATTAACAACGGGGATTCCAGCCCAGTTCCACGTGATCGAGTCGAAAATTCTGATTTTTTTTTTGCCTATCGTGCGGAACGCATAGGCGAATCTAAAAATACGAGGCGAAAGATCTTGTGAAAAAAGAAACGAGCCGACAGAAATACGGAGGAACTTGTCTGACGGGAGGTCGTGGGAGTCTAAGGTTTGTCTCGTTTTCGTGGAAATCAAGAACAACTCGGTTGCATTATGCGACCGGTATCGAATGATGCGGCGAACGAGACGGATAAGAAAGGAACAATTGCGTCAATCGAGGTACGGGAAGCGAATTCTACGGTGGGGAGGAGGGAGAGAAAGAAGGCGAAAAGGCTGAAACTCGTTTTCGTTGGTACAGGAAATGTCGAACTGTGCCTTCTTGATAAACACGCGGGAATAGGACGCAACACGTCTGGAACAATGGATTGCTGCACGTGAAATGTAATCTTGATTATTCTTTTAGTTTCTTATGTACGATTTCTAGATGATCTTTTCTCTTTGTTTCTCGTCGATGCC